GATAACTTGGGTGTACAAGGAGGTGCGTCGTCGGGGTGGGGGGGGGGTAAGAAGATGTATGCGACGTGTATGAAAGAGAAAGAGGCAACAAAGAACATACCGATATATCAGGAATAACATAATGATCTGCTTCAGCACTCAAATAGCCTTGATGCATTGTGTTGCCAATAAGCTGTTGACAAGAGGAACAACATTCTGCCATGCAAGGAATGTCATTGCGAACGTACTCTGTAGTGTTGAAATGTCGTTAACATGTGGCTGTTGCTGTTATCGTTGTTGCCATGGCAATCGACCTACGTTCTCGTACAAGTTTGACGATTGCGTTGCCCCGTGTCTTTCGAAAGAATGAACGTTCGCCACGAATGTCTGTGAGTGCTGTCATTGACGATGCTGCGATTGGGGGGAGGTGTGTGTGGAGAGGTGGAAGCAAGCGATAGTTTCATTCGATGTCTGTGGTTGAAAAAGGTGTCACGTGTGGCAGGTGGTGTTTTGGTTCATTGTATGTGTGTGTGCCTCTCATGCAAGAGTATGCCTGCTTTGATTCTGTAAGACGTTACAACCAAATGCAGCTGATCCATGGAGTCTCCTTAAACAAACAAACCCTAATGGAGTGGTTCAATAACAGTGAGAGAGATCCTTGCATTGCTTTTGCTCTTTTTAATATTAACCATTGCGCGTGCTGCAGTGATCGAGCAATGACAATCAGCAGAAAAGAGCACGTGTGCTCGTGGTAGGTCAAAATCCTAACTAGCTACAACCTTTTGTCCTCTTCAGGCACAGCCCGTCATTCATGTACCCTTTTTTTCTCGGTCTTTGATGTCGTTCACCGTGCAGCCTTATGCGGTTACTAAAAACTTATAAAAAAACCATCTACATGTGTCCTTCCGTTTTGTTGTCATTTTCTTTCCCTCCTTCTTTCCCCCAACTCTCTTTTTCAAACCCCCACTTGCTGTTGTTGGAACGCATGCAGCAGTAGCGCCTCCAACAATACGCCCACATACATTATTATTGTTGTACTTTGTCTCTTTCTTTCTTTCGCATTCACTCTACACATACATAGCATCATCCAATCATGAAGTTTGCCAAAGATCTTGCCAACGAGAGTATACCCGAGTGGAGAAAGGCTTATATTAATTACAAAGGCCTTAAAAAGAAGATCAAAGTCATTGAAAAGGTATCATTTTCATTTACATACCTCCCTTGATCTCTTGCTCACATACACACAAATTCTTACGCTCGAAACAACAAACATCAGTATCGAAAGGCAAAGGAACGAAAAGCAGCTATTGAACTTGACCGAGCCTTCCAAGGCTTTGACGCCGACAGTGACCCTGAAATCCCCCGACCAGCGATCTATAAGACTGATACAGCCGCAACAACCGAATGGCGTTGGCCTTGGAATGCATGGACCCATGCCGACAATGCACCTCTGGATCGCCAACCTTCATTTCCACACTCTCTCATTCGACGTTTGTCTTCACGCTTTAATAATGACGAGACTGAAATGTATCGTGTACCTTCACATCCAGGTATGGTATGATCCCATCAAATGTACACACGCACACATACACACTTGCCATGCAATTCTAAATCCATCCATCCATGGGGTAATGAAATCTACCCTTTTTAGCGTCAGTACGCAGCTCGGCAACATTATCAGTACTAGAGGAGGTTCTGCTTCATGCAAGTGAACCGGAACGGGCATTCTTTGCTATGCTCAATGGCGAGCTTGATAAGGTCTCTCGATTCTATAATGGTAATAAGCTCTTCTTTTATGCATCCTTTTTCTATCTTTTCTCATCATCATGCAATTGTATAGAAAAAGAACAGGAGGCAAGGACCAAACTGGAAGCTCTCAAGATTCAAATGCAGTTGATAGCCGAGTATGGCCGACGTCTACTCGAAATTGGGGTATGTACTACCACCACACCACAACTCATTACGCCATTCTCTGACTGCTCATATGCTATGTACAGGCGACTGACCCAGCACAACGGCCATCCTACAATAATGACGAGTCGCGACATGATCATTGGTTCAATCGATTACAGCAACACAGATTCTCACATCAGCTCCCTGCCTCCCTTCAACTACCACAATTATCATCCACCGTTGACTATACTGCCGATCATCACGTTAGCTACAATGTATGTGGCAAGCAAATCATACACCATGATTACCTGGGTATCGTATTCACTCTTTCCCATTAGGTGGCTCGTAGTCGATTAAAAAAAGCCATCACCGAGTTTTATCGCAGCTTGACATTCTTATCCTCTTACAAGGTAAACATCACATCACAAGGGCAAAAACGCGGGAAGTGGATAAGCACATCATGTGGTCAACAACGCTCATCATCATTTGTACCACGTACTAGATCATGAACGAGAAGGGCTTTCAAAAGATCCTCAAAAAGTTCGACAAGGTAAAGAACTACACTTTAGCAATGATCACCTTTGTTCCTTTTATTTACTTTTTGTGCGTTTACATTGCATGACGATCATAGACGGCAGGATGGAAAGCGAGCCCCCTTTATACACAACGCATGAAAAAGTATCATTGGGTCACATCTGAAGATTTGCAGAACATTATCAAGGAGACTGAGGTATTTGAATGTTTCAGAATGCCCATGTTTTTGTTGCTCAACGTTTTAGACGTTTAGACACTATACATCAATGAATTTGCTGATGGACACCGACGGCGGGGTATGCGTAAACTCCGTGTTCCTGAAAAGCAAGAGGTTCGTGCATGTTGGCTTGTGCGGAGTGACATATGCATACTCATTGCATTATGCATGCAGGATTATAATTCTACGACACTGCGTATTGGTTTATTCATAGGCATCGCCATCCCTATGTTGCTAAGATCTTTACAACTGGGTATGTAAGAGCTCAAATGATTCAATGATCTTGTCAACTCATCATCCACACACCTGCTACTGTATTCTAGGATTCGACCCAAAGACAGCAAAACAGCTTCCAAATATTGAGACCAACTTGCATATATATGCATGCTTTTCTTTACCAATCCTTTTTTGCTTGGGATTTGCGCTTAACCTGGTGATATGGCACAAGAACCGGATTAGCTACAAGTTTATCTTTGAATTGGATCCAAGACACAATCTCGACTATCATCAATTTGGCGAGGTATCTATATGCTCTATATCTAATGCCATTATGGGATCGATATTGATCATGATCCTTGTATAATAGCTGCCGTCTTTTCTGCTGCTGGTCCAGTCGATCATGATGTATATTGATTTTTCTCAAGTCTTTGCACCAACTATACCCTCGGAGCTGTGCCCGCTTATTTTATTCGTAATTCTTGTTGCCATCATGCTTTGTCCTTTCAACATTCTTTATTGCTCAGCACGAAAATGGCTTGCAGTTGCACTGGTTTGTATTCCATGGCCCACAGCATCTTGAAGCTTCTTGTCTCATCATGATGAACAGGGCCGTATCCTACTTAGTGGTCTTTTCAGGGTCGAGTTTCGAGACTTTTTCATTGCAGACGAGCTCAACAGCCTGGCCTATTCCTTGTGGACCCTCTCCTATTTCTTTTGTGCTTATTCATGGCATTGGTCTGATCTTGGTAAGATACAAAAGCTGGCATAAGGTTGTTGTATTCGCTTATCAGCTGATGTTGCTTTGCAATTAGAATCCAATTGTAGCATATCGTTAATGTGGTACACGCCGCTTATTGCTTCTCTTCCTCCATGGTGGCGTTTGCTACAATGCTTGCGTCGTTATCGTGACTCGAGTGAGCTGGTGCATTTGGCTAATGCGTTAAAGTACACAAGCAGTATTGTCGCAACCATCATTGGTGCTGTGCGAAAAAGTCATTGTGAGTGATTTGGTCCTCAACGTTGCCGAACAATTTATTCATGCATCTTTGATGTCACATTACTAGCAAATACAGCTATCACAACCCTGTGGATTTTGGCGTCATTTATCAATTCATGCTATACCTCCGTATGGGACATCAAAATGGATTGGGGTCTTTTACGCCCTTCAAGTCAAAATTTCCTTTTGCGAGATGAGCTTGTCTTCCATAAAGCGGTTAGTATTTCACATGAGGTGTATCATGGTTGTTTACTTACACAAGGTGTCATCAACAACAGACCTATTATCTTGCTTCGATTCTCGATGTGTGTCTTCGATTTGCATGGGTGACCAATTTGGTGCGTATGCGTTTGAATGGTGACATCCTCGCATTCATTTTGGCAGCAATGGAGGCATGTCGTCGTATACAATGGAACGTATTCCGATTGGAAAACGAGGTACGTGCAACAAACATCACCTGAATTTTGTAACCATCCGCTCATCATTATGCAATATGGGTGTATAGCACTTGAACAATTGTGGACAATACCGTGCGATCAAGGAGATCCCATTGCCCTTTGCACTCAATGAGCAAATCAAAACCATCGATCCACCTGATGATAGTAACGGACATACGCCATCCACTAATGGTGTCAATGGACGAGCTACACCACCCACACCTATCCCCATACGTGTTGAATCACCTGCCGCTGTTGAACCATCATCATGGGTTGTGCCAACAATGACACCAAGTCGACACGCCTCAAGCTATGGTTATGAATCTCCTTATAATGGCTCCTTCTATGGCCGACGAGACTTTGAGAGCCGACGCGATCGCGATGAGACAAGCAAGGAAGCAGCCTCCATGAGTCAACCCATAACCACTTTTGAGAACGTGCTTACTCGTATACGTAGTTTTGGCACAGCAGGTGTTGAATCAGATGGTAGCGATACAGAGCGTGACGATGATGATGATGATGACGAAGATGAATATGATGATTATGGTGATGGTGGTAATGATAACGGAGGAGAACACCATCATGCTATATAAAAGCTTGTATTATTACTACTGCAATCCTTTTATTTGTTGTTTAATGAGAGAGAAAGCGAGCCTATCTGATATAGCAATGCAGGGATGGTGGATATAGTACATTAGTCGTAGAAGCTGTTGGTTTCGGCTGAATAGTGAATGACTTCTGGATCAACCTTCAAGCGTGTAAGCATTTGGACCATGGGGTCTTCTTCTTCTTCGGGCTTTTCACGCTCATCAAGATCATCAGTGCTTTCATCCATGAAGATACTCTCCTCGTCACCCCAATAGTCCCAAGACGTCTCCATTGTGAATAGCTCCTTTTGTTCATTAAAGACAGCGAGAAGCTCTTCAGCAACATGCTGCAAAGAAAGGTTTTTGAGTATGTACTTTGATTCCTCTTTGCCGATCACCTACTACTACCTGTGCAATCGCTCTCCATTTTGTGATCAATTGTTCAAGCTCCTCTGGACCATCCTATTTATGCATGGATGTAGATAGCCTTTTAGTCATCACGAAGCAAGGATGATATTACTCAAAGACTTACCTTGTCAAGATAACATTTCGCTTGATTGATCTGTTGAATCATGTCATCGTATTTCTTCCATTCCTTTTGTAGAGCTTGTTCTTCCTGGGTCAATTTGGGTCTTTTGATAGAACCTAGAGTAGTAGTGGATGTCTTGTGTAACCAAGTCAGCAATACATGCCGATGCTGAGCACATGTTGTAGAGGGTTCCTTTCACCTGATGATTCATTCTTGTGTGCTGAGCATTCAGTGCAACTATGGGTGGGGGAGGGAGTGAGAGAAAGAAAAAAGAGAAAAGCGGATAATGGGAAAGTCTCACTCACCTTTCTTTTTTATACAACAATGTATGTCGCTTCTACCGCCACGACCAGCTCCTCCTCCTCCTCCTACAACAACAACCCTGCAGTGCAAAAGTTTGACCCCATTCTCTTCATGCCTACCTCACATGGTGTGAATGAAGCCATTGGATACATCATACCGCATCTCGACACTGGTAGCTTGGCGCAATGTGCAAGAGTGAGCCGTCATTTCAACCGAGAAAGCAATAAGGCTATTTGGCGAGCACCCAACTTTCAGGATGGATATCTATACAACCCACTTCGATTGTTGAATCGTTTTATCGACTTGTTACCTGAATTAAGACCAGAGACACAAGCACTGGTGACAACGCTTGATCTATCGCATATCGAGGAATCACTTTATGAGAACGTACGACCCCACTTTTTTGATGCATTGACACGCTATACGCCCAATCTGCAAGTGCTCAAGATGGTTAAGACGAGCTTTTTGACAGTGTCAAGTGTGCGAGGTACTGGTAGACTACCCCATTTACGGGCATTGGATCTATCCTATTGCGAGCATGTATCAGACGACTTATTGGTTGAATTGGCACCACGTGTTCCTCGACTTGCTTATCTTCGATTGGATTCTCTCGGCAGCGATGCTGGTGGCGAACGTGGATTGGCAGCATTTGCAGATCATTGCGACGACCTTACATCCGTTTCGATTCGATACAATGATACGATCACCAATGGAGCATTGACAGCATTGGCCAAATTTGGCAAGATTCATGTTAAAGAAGTGGATTTGACAGGATGTGCTTATGTGACACCAGTGGGATTGGCGGCCATGGCCCGTTTCAACATCAATTTGCAATACCTCAGCCTTGCCAAAACAGCGTGCGATGCCAATCATGCAATTGCCTTCCTGACAGGTCGTAGTGCACGTTACTTACGCCATTTGGATCTTGGATTTTGTGCTAGTCTCGATAACCCTGCCGCTGCTGATCGTATTGCCAACGTATTATGGAACGAAGCAGATCATCCAGCACCTTCACTTGAATGTCTTGCCATCTCAATGCCTGTTGCAGAAGCCATGCTTGGAAGAGGTCCATGTCCATGTCCCATTACGCTTCTTGTCGTTCATGGTTTACGCCAAAATACACCCATGCAATTGCTTACGGCTTTACTCGCTTCTTTCCCATCGGCAAGACACATTGCATTTACACGTGATGAACCTGAGGATGATGAGTATATGCCAATGTCTTTTTACAGCGATGTCCCTGATCCATCCACTTCACGTCGTTATATCAATCAAGATACCGTCAAGCAATTCAATCTCTGCCAAAGCAATGTCCTTGTCACTCTCACCAATGATCGTGAAAAGATAGATGGTCTCACCATGCATCACTGGTAATAGCAATAGTTGTAGTAGATGAAACACCCACTTTATTATCATTCCCTTCTTTCTTTTCCTTTTCTCTTTCACAATTACAAGTATATCCTTCCTCCTTGTATATATATAAAATCGATGTCTTCAAGGCCACAGCCACAACAGTTAAACTCACAATCGCTGAATCCAGCAACTCTCATGGAGATCAATGTGTTGAAAAGGGTTGCCATGGAGCAACAAAAGACCAATCCCGGAGCAAGTATCCCCTACTTGGCCAAAATTTGTCAGATAGTCGATAACCAACGCCCACCAGAAAATGATCCAATGCGTTTGAATATCATACGAGCTGATGCTCATGCACAGTTGGCGGACGCGTATCATAAGGTGCAAAACTGGATACAATGCGAGGCATCTCTTATGGTGGCTGTCAAGATATGGGAAAGAATACTCGAGACACCTGAAGAATCTGATGGAAAAATGACGGCCAGGACGCGTCTTGGAGAAGCGTACGATATCCTCCGAATATGCTATGACACCCTTGGCAACCGTAGACTAGCTGAGCTGATGGAGAAGCGGAAGTCAAAGCTGGCTCAATAAAAAAATTTTCTTTGCAGAGTCACAAAAAGTATAAATACAGTGCGAAGCGCGTTCTTTAGTCCTCATTCTTTTTTTCTCCTCTGCTGCTTTTTACATGTAGAATAGAGGGTAAGTTATCATTACACACTTTTCATTTTTTACCTTTTTGGATTGGGTGTTTGATTGAGAATGATGAACCGCTCTTATGGGCGTTGTCTTCATTATCTTATCGACCATGGTGAAACACCTCCCGTGCTTCGCTGAGCACGGTTGAATACTTGCCAGTATACTTGTTCTGACTCATTTCAAGCCACCACATTCCTTTCTCTTACGTGTTGTTGTGCTCGATCAAGTGACTCACCTTTCAACAGTTTTTGTTTTCTTTTAGGAATAAATACCCTTTACTCTACATCCTTTGGTTTCCATGGCGACTTGTTGTCAGGTGTGTATTACTTTTCCTTTCGAGGATGGTGATGGAATCAGGTGATGATGAAATCCCGTGTTCGCAGTTTCCACTGGAAGAGGCTCCCTTGCAGGGTGGCTTCAATGTCGGACAACACTTCCTTGGATGTCTGATGATTCCACACAATCACCATTTTGCTTTTGTGTTATTACGTGTCATTGTTTTACTTATACGTTTCTTCTAAAGATTTAGTTGCCCATTACTTTCTCGCTGTTGGCTTGGTCTGGGAGAAGGAAGAAGAAGGGGGTTGACTTTTACTGGATGGTTGGCGTTGAGGCCTGGTATGTATTGCTTTTTGTATCTATCCTGGGAAAGCTGCTCCATTGGAACGGGGAGTGTTTGGATGTGATGAAAAGTATACATCATTAGGAAGAGCCGACTTAGAGTCATCTAAAGGTGGCTTGTGCTGAGTGATGATTCTCTGACAAAATTTTTTGTGGGGCGTGTGTCTTGGTCGAGTTATCACGCGGGGTACAAGTTACTCATCCATTCTTCAAGTCCTCCCTTTTCTTCACCTTCTTTCTAGATTTTAGTATGCCTCTCTCTCTTGGTTTGGTGTTCAGGCAAGTGCTCTTCAAGATATGTGTAGCTGTTCCCTTGTGCCAATAAAGGTTCGTGTTTGTTTGATCAACCATTTCGTCCCTTGTTGTGTTGTTCCTTTTTGATTTGGATTGGATATGATGGCAATGATGACTTTTTTGCATTTCTGGCAACCTCTTGTTTGAATTCCTTTCCGTGCAAAGCACCGAGGGGAATAATGGACGAAAACTTTCCTCTGAGCCATCATACCTTTCCATACAAGCTTTTATTGTTTATAAATAAACTCGTTTGTTGACAAGATATTTTGCATATTGTGTGACTTGAAAGATGCTGACATGAGATGGTATGTGCTTTCGTGCTTGAACATGCAAGAAAGATGGGCATTTATTTTGATCGTAGCCATCAATCATAGGTAGGCTTGTATAGTAACCTTTCTTTACTCGCATGTACAAATAGAAATGAGACATGGGACACGTGCATCGATAAAGTGACCACGTGCACCACTGTTTTCTCTCCCATGATCGAAAGGTTGGCAGGTAGATTTATGTAAGGCATGTGCCACCATCATCCCAACATCCCATATACACATCTTGCAGCCTCGTATCCATCATTGAATTATCTTTCATGGTGCTGTTTTGAACACCTTTAGCTCATCCCTTTCATACATGTCATGATACAGATTCGAAAAAGAATCAGGAACGCCTTTACATGATCCATCGACAAATGTTTGCAGAAACAGCATGCGACCCGCCGGATGTTACATCCATTGTTTTGTGGCAGTATAGTAGATTTACCTTGATTGCTGTTGTTTTCGCCCATGTTATCCCTGGCTTGCATTCTTTGCCGCTTTTCCGGTTCACCTGCATGCATTGGTTTTCTCCTCTTTCTTCCCATACAAGGAGTATTTGATTGGTGTCATACCACCCCATAAAGTTGCAAGCTACATTGCATCATATCACAATGCGTAATTTGTTTATGATCGTGTAAATGACAAAACACTTGAAGCTCGAGTCAAAGTTAAGCATAAAAAAGGGTGTCAATCCCCATTGCAGAAAAGCAGCAACAAATTGAAATATTCCGAAAGCATCCTAGTTGCATAAAACAAGCTTCAAGTTGCCGTGAATGGATGAATACAAGCAAACGCACTGGGCAACCATTGTAGCACAAACGCATATACATCCACGGCAAAAAGTGAAATGCGCGTGTGATATGAGATGAGCCAATAGGCATTGGTAGAAAGGCGTGTGTGGATGGGGGTGAGGAGGAGATGTGGGCGTGTGTAAATGATCTGCACATTGATAAAGAGGATCCAAGGGTTCTTTACACGTGATGGCAGCATTGCTTTTCGGCATTTCTCGAGTGGGAGGCGTGTGAGGGTGCGTGCTACAGTTTACGAGAAAACATTGGTCGAAACAAGACAAGTCTAATCTCCTCGTTCGGATCACAGACCCGCCCTATTTTGGGGGCGACTTGCACACACACACACATACACACATACACAGACTCATATCGTCGGTAAATACCAAAGGGCTCTAAGTGATCGAGGAGTGAGTGTGTGTGCCATCAAGGGGCACCAGAATAAAGAGCACACATGCCTGCAAGGATCCAATCAGAACCACACGTGTCAGAGCATGTTGTGCTTTATTGGGTCTTGACAACGTCCTTTTGCCCGTTCCTGATCACACTCATCATCAAACGCACGTACGCAGTACTTCTCACACACCACACACACACATATTATCTCTTTCCTTTTTACCTTTTTCTTCCTTCTCTTACTTTCTCTCACACCTTTATTGACATACGCTCACTTTTGACCATGTCGTTGTCTTCACCCAACATGCCAAAAGAAAAAACAATCGACCATCCAGCTACAGCTGTGGTACCACCCAAAAAGCGCCGAAAGCCTTCAGCTGATGTTGTCGTCGATGATAGCCCAATGATAACGGCAAACAAAGACGCCTGTACTTTGGAAGAGGATGAGCTTGAAGAAGATGATGAGGAGGATGATATTGAAAAAGAGCAACAACAACAGCAACGACGTGCCAAGCGCCATCAAAAAGAAAAACAAGGCCATGAAAAACATCATACAGCTATCCAAAGCACACCTCCATTTCAACCTGCCATGATGGCCTTACCGCCACCACTACTTTCATATCCGCATCATCATCAGCTAGCGTATTACCATCCATTGTATCCTGCTGGTCCCTTTTATCTTCCAGTGGGCTCTTCACCACCACTCACACCTCATCAACCATCTCCATCACTACGACCTCGAAGCAATGCTGGTGCACGTATTTTGCCAAAGGTATCGCCTTCAGATGGCAATGCTGCTGGTGCTGCTACTATGACAACAACATCTTCGGTATCAGCCTCAGCGACAAATGCACCCTGTTTTGCATCGCCACCACTACATCCCAATAGCCCAAGCGAGTACCTCTACCATCATCATCCATTTAGTATTCCTATTGCACCAGCTTCTGGAGATCCTATTACAGCTTCTGCTGCTGCTGCAGGAAACGTACGACGTGATAGTAGCAGCACAACATTGACTACTGCCGATCAACGTGAACAAGCTCGTAAGATGTCTCATAGTGCCATTGAACGACGTCGACGTGAACGTATCAATGACAAGATTGTGCAGCTGCGACAACTAATCCCATCTTGTGCCAACCAAGAGCATTTGCATAAGATGACGGTATTACAAAGTGCCATTGATTACATCGCCTATCTCAAAGAGGTGGTGGCAAGACTTGATGGAGAAGAAAGCTTGAACGTCAACCTCAAGAATAACAAGGCTCCTAAATCAATGATGCCGCGTGAAGTGGAAGCATTCACTACCCAGTTTTCAGTCACCAAAAACGATGCACGCTTACAACATCAACGCCGTCGTAGCAGCACAAGCAGTAGTAGTGATGCTAATAAGCAACCGGTATCCAATGGCAACGAGACATCTGAACAACATCCACGTAAGTAATAATAATTTTATGGTAGCTACCACCAATTACTAATCATCCTTGTACATCAGCCTCGTCTTTCGATGCTCGTAAGGGTATCAAGCCAATCGATGTGATCCGTGCACGTGTCCCATGCCATCAACACCATTCATCTACTGGTAGCCATGGAGACAATGGTCTCTTGGCAACACCAGTACCTTCGCCTTCCTCTGTTCACAGCCATGAGTGGTCTTCAGCAACATCATCATCGAATGTGTTACCACCACCTTGGTCATCTTCAACCCCCAATACGGATCATGTAACAAGTGGATCATCATCATCATCACAGCATCCACGACCTAAAGACACCCACCATGATAGCAGCCCTGAAACCATCTCATCATCATGGACCGAAGATGGTACGAGTTGCTCATCCCCTTCTCTACCAACGCCATCGCTCACCCCTCAGTCAGGAACACCATCCATGCCAACGCAACAAAAACATATGAGTGTTGAGAATCTGCTTTGTTAAAGACATTATCATACGACTTGTTTTGCAAGGGAATTTGTGCGCTTAATTGCATTGCACATGTATCGACATCATTATTGCCGTCGTGCAAGAAAACGGAGCCCTTTCGTTCTAACCCATATACCCCACCATCGTTTTGCTACTAATTTTTCCTTTGTTTCATGCACACACAATTTATCAATGCCAATGGTCCGTCGTTTTACTTTCTCTCTTTCTTTCTCCCTTGTTGTAGCTTTATATGCATATCTTGTACATGTCATTCCTTTACTTCCTTGCCTTGCTATATGCTACTTGTTCTATTTATCATCATCCGAGACGCCAATGGTCATCCCATTTAATCTCTTTTCCCACGATTTACCCGAGTATGGTTCTACAATTGTAAAAAACAAAGTTCATAAATCTTCATAAGCTTATACATACGTCTGGGCCAAACCATCTTATTACCGATTGGGTGTAGCATGATGGGATCAAAAAGTCAACAGCTGTTTTTAAACCTGCGGCGATGTCTTCCGAAAGTCGGCGTTCCTTTTTGACAGATTGATAATAATGGACCCCAAAGTATGGCTATACTATCTCCTAAAGGTGCTGTCCGTGCTCATAGTACCAGATCCCAAAATATCTTTTCTTGGGCCATGTGCATACTTGCAGCCGAGTACATATGGATGCACCACGTGAGTTTCCACATTCGACATTGGTTCCAGACATAGGGTCTTCCCTAGTAGCCGCTCCATTGTTTAAAGAGAATGTGTAAAACAAGACATGTAACGCTGAATCCATTGCGGTCTTGAACCTTGTTTTGCCATTCATGTGATACTGCAGCAGTAGCTGTTTGTTCTTTGCATTGAATGAACCAAGAGCGGGGTTTTCTTCCCGATCAAAAACCTCATTGTTTTTGAATACGTAATGGTGAAAAAGCCTTCTCAATCTATCCTCGTCGTCGTCGTCGCTGTTATCCATCAAACCAGTGAGGTTGTCTTTATTTCATGATTTGATTCCTTTTATATACAAAGCCCCTGAAAGTTGTCATTTGTCTGACTATGCAGATTATTGGATCTAGATCACAAAAGAGATAGATGGGGGCGATGTGTGTGACAAGCGCTGAAACAGATGATGACAAGACGCGTGTATGTATGTATGTATGTATTCATAAATTGTTTGCAATGGATGATGTATTATTGTACATGTTGTAATGGGTAAAAGAAGAGAATGGTGAGTGATTGTTGCAGGTTGTGATGGGTGAATGATATATGTAAAAAGGATGCAATGGGTGTGTGTGTGTGTGTGTGTGTGTGTGTGTGGAAACAAGAAGAATAAGAAGAAGGGGGTATCAACTGGGACATTGGAAACCAGCGGGAGTGGAAATGTTTTGGGTAGTGGACCATGCGATGCCTGCTATAGATGTAGTGACCAAGAAATCAATACCCAGCCCGGTATCTTTTTTTGAGCCATCGAGTGATACACCAGCAGCATTCACCAAACAAGCACTGAGCAAGTCGCTAAAGGTAGGATCATCTTCTGAAGGAGCGTAATAGTACATGGGTAAATGTAAGGTGACGAGTTGTTTGATGCGTGGTGCTAAGACAATTGTGCCTGAATCACCGTGGCCAATAATCTTGGATGTATCACGGTTGACGACGCGGACTGCCATGTTTCGGATATGAGTCGGAATCCAGTTCTCCGTATTATCAGCCGTCATGTTGACTATCCATGTTGCATTGAAAGAGACCAATGTCGAGTTTTGTGGATTTTGCCATGCATTGAATTCATCTATATTGTCTACTTCCATAAGCGACAATTGTGGTACCCTTGGCCATACAAAGTACCAAATAACAGCAATCACCACGGCTGTAAGGATGCTGCCAATACACACATTCCGCCACCATCGACGACTCTTTCCACCACCACAACAACAACACCATCGTTGCTTTCGTCTCTTTCTTTTGAATGCTTGCTCTGCATCGGCGGCCTCTTCAGTGATGGCTTGCATTCGTTGTGAAGTATTCATCCTTGTGGCACCACCTCGTGATGAAGACAAGCTTTGAGCGGGATCCATTTGTAGTGATATGGTGCGATCTTGCTCATCCATTGAGCCAACGTCGTCAATGTAAATGGGTGCTGGCACAGCTGCTGGATCTCGTTGATGATGTGAATAAGGTAGATAGGAATTGGCTCGATCATTGGTTGCCCATGCTCGACTCGTTCGTTTATTATTGTCGTCGCCTCCATTTCTCGCATAGGGGTCGTCGTCATTGTTGTACAGATCCGGTACAGGTGTCGTTGTCAGTCGTCGAGTGCTGCTATCCGATGCCGATCGAGAATGAGCAGGATCTAGCAATGGGCATGCATTTGAGTGATTGGTCTCTCCCCTCATTCAAAGTGGGTGGGGTTTTGTTTTACCTTCTCGCCTTACTGCACGATATGGGTCATTTTCTTCATAATGCCTTGCAGCAACCAAAGTGCGTCCCAAGGGGGAATCTGCAGAAAGAACCATGAAATGCACCAAGGGATGGAATAAGAAAAAGGGTGAAAGAAGAATAAAAAGAAGAAAAGGGGGGAGAAGGAGAAGGAGGAGGTGGTGGTGGAGTGGAAAAGTAAAAAGGGGAGAAAAGAGCTGAGGAGAAAAAGAAGTTGGGTTTTCCGAGCAACACAGCACAACCCAACTTGCATATTTTGACGCTTCATGCTTGTGTTCTTGTGTCACATTCTGCCACCCATCGGAGCAACCACGCTTTGAAAAAGACAATGAAGACGTGTTACTTAATAAGATTCTGCCAAGCCTTTTTTTAACACCCTTTCCATGGTCACACACACTGTAATAACACCAATGTGTACCTTAATCTTCACATATCTCGCTCTCTCCCCACGCTTTTGTTTGCTTTGAAAAAGAATCATAAGAACCTTTCTGTTTTGCCGCCACCATCATCACCAGATGAATGATTCCGATAGCACATGACCCATGTGCAGCACTCAGTCATCACCACACATAATTAGTCTCGTCGTCAATATCGGATGGGTCGTGTCATTTCATCGGGCGGTGTTCGGTCAATGGTAGCTCTAAAGATAGTCAACATCGCCCATTGTAATGGTTTTCACACCTACTTTAGTCTCGCTTAATAGCTTCACATGTCCCGCTTTATAACAAACAGGCCCCATTTTTTCTTTTTCGATGCTTTCTATGGTCACAGTGTAGCACAAAGTTTTCGGAAGACAATGCCCACCACCACCATCATCCATAATAATAACCAACAACAGCTGTCCGATTCAAAGCACCAACCACCCATTCCTCCTCTCTTCCTTCCCACCCCCAAATCTATAATCTGTCGTCATTTTGGGCCGTTTAATCGGTTACAATGGGTGCTTCCCCAACAATGGGTATCATGTTATGCGTCGTATGGCAACATTTATAGGGTGGTTATCATCCCCAGCAGCACATTAAAGACCTTGTTGCTGCCATTGATTGATCAATGCACTGAAATAAGAATGAAAGGAAGGATTCGGATCACATGCAATAGGGAAGATAAGATCGTTCTACGGTTGTCTTGATTTCGTTGCCTAATTGCGACGAGCGGCAATGGAAATTAGACATGATGTTATCCACCCATAACGGGTCGTCATATGGCGTGAACCTTGATGTTCCGGCATTATCTTCTTGTGTATACAACTGGCTGATAAATAGCATGATGACATTTTGTAATCATCAACATCATCCCCCTCTCGAACCCAATTGATGTCAATTGTAATGTCGGCATATGATGTGGTCGGCATTACTAATGTGGTATATCGCAATATGACCTGTGATAGTGCAAGATACCTGATGCTTTTGAAATAATGGCCCCCTTTAATGTTGTCGGTGACAACAAAGAGTTGTTTTGCATTTTCTGGCAGCGCTTGAACGTGGCACGATGATGACATCGACAACAATCACCCTCATAAGAACAATCTTAGATGCTCCACCGTCTCATTGGTATCCATCCCCATGCTTAGACCATATCCAATCATCACAATTGCTCACCCAAATGGTTCCCAAAAATATCATACTCCTTGTGTATTATAGTTACCATGCAAAAAAGGGAAGGTTTTAAAGACTAAAGGAAAGAAAACGATGGGTGATCACTTGCTGTTTAATCAAGCTCCATGCCAACTTGACGCTGTTGTTGTGGAGGGTTTGGACCGCCTGTAAACAATCCTTTCATAAGGTCCTGCAGCAAATTGGCTTGCTTTTTGGGTCGAGGGATGTTGAAAAAGACAGCGCCAATATCATCCAGCAACTGTGGGATCCATTGTCAATAACAACAGCAAAGTCATAACCACCCTCATCCCCATCCTACCTCATCGAAGCCCTTTTGTTCATTACACATAGCTCCATAAGTATCCCGTAGCTGCTTGAACAAGTCTGTGGCATCACGTTGCACGGTCAACAAAACAAGTCGGGTGAAATTAAGCCAGCTATCGTCATATACAGGCTCCTTGACAGGTTCATCGGCTGGAGCATGTCGCACATCGACTTCGGATCCTGTTTTGGGAGGATTGGATGCTTGAATAAATGCCTCATAAGCAAGGGTAGCATGGTGAATGTTCTTCATTGCTAGTAATCTTTTAAATTATGAGTACCACATATACATTGGTCCCTACAACACTCGCTAGTCCCACTTACTGAAAGACGACACGTGCAATGAATAAACCTCCTGATGGCATTCCTTCAGTCTCAGACCACTTTGCTGCAACAGTGCCTAGTAGCTCAGCGCTGTGATCGGTTCCTACAAGCAAGTGTTCCTCGGCCAATGCAAAACGTCCCTCTGTTGTTGTCAATCCCAATGTCAGCTCCGTAGACCACCATACAGCGGATTGATCGGTATTACTTACCATGGTAGAACATGGTTCCAACGTAATCATGCAAATCAGGATCACCTTCACGATATTGACCATTCTTTTGAGTCCAACTACAATCATCAAGATTAACACCCTATGCATAGTAACTCAAATCATTATCATGCTACTCACCTAAAGGCATTGTGGATGTACGATCTTCGGCCTGATTCTTCACTGGGATACAAAGAAAGCAATTCGACAACACGATCTATATAGCGTTTGGATGCGATGTATCAGAGGGTGTGTGTGTACGTGAATATGCCGTTGCCGTCTTACCGAGTGATTTCTCGTCAACTGCAAGATTGGCTGAATTGTAGGTATCAAGCATGTAGTTTGCTAAGTCTGATCCTGAGGCATATTGCTTGTGTTGCATAAGGGAAACGGCTCCATCGTGAAGCAAATGGATAGCCTTGTTGTACTTTTGTTGCTTGTTGTACCTAGAAAGAAGAAGTGTCACCACCCCGATGTTCAAGCTGGCCATGATGCCTTTTACCTGCGAGCTACGGTCCGGTACATCTGATGAGCTTCATAGTAGTTGCCATTGCTGATAGAGTCCTTGAGTTTTTGGAGAGTCTTTTCAGTGCCTTTTTGTGCCATTATGTGAATAAAAGAGAGAGAAGAGCACCATTTGTGTCTCGCCACGCGTGGCGGGTTTAGAAAGAGCAGTACAGTACGTAGCGCACACCCACATGGTCGCTTCCCACCCAATATCACTAATCTTTATATCATAAGAAAAGGTGATACTGTATCAATAATCATTTCGCTTGATGGTATAAGTTTTGATTGTATCATACACGAAAAGATTCTCAACAAGGGTGTATCTTGGACCCTTTGCGTTGCCAGGCAACCGAATTTGGGTGCTCAGGATAGAAATCAATGGGCCGACTTTTCTTTCATAGCATCATTCAATCCAATAAAATGTATGTTACTTCATTGAAGCCGCGTATGTAATGAATTTGTCGAGCCTGTTATTTCGCCTTCGCAGCGTCCTTTAAGACCATCATAGGGTTGATCTTCGAGTAATAATGATCCATTACTTTACATCTTTCTTCTCATTGCATATGAATGCACCAAATGAGCTAAGTGATAAAGAAGCCGGATGATCGCATATGCTTATTTGTTGCCTTTGGCCTCTTAAAGAACGAGTGCATGTTGCAGGGATTGTGTACAGACGATACGGGGATGCATGAAACGTACATTGTAAATAACAAAGAGTTGCGCCTGCATTATTTATTTTGGTACAAGGTTCCCTATATGCTTGGACGACTATCATTCATGCAAGATAAAGAAAATAGGGATGCCATGTGGAAGTACAAGGGATATGCAGTGGTGGGGACTCAAAACCATTCATGCAACAAGATAATGCCCTCAGGTATCGCTCACCGTTGGCAACGAGTAAGGTAATCGGAAGGGCATAATACAGTGATACGTATTAAAGGACTCATGTCATAGATAACAATAGGCCTTCCATCGAAGGCGCAATCCTTGTAGCTGTCGTGTCGAATCAAAGCGGCATAGAGGCTGTAGTAGACTGTCTTTACTGACGGCTAAACATTTACCAGCCGGGAGTTCAAGTGGCAAAGGGCACGGCGGAGGATACGTATCTTCGTGTGTCTTGGTTCCTTGTCCATCATGGCAGAATTGGTAGAGAAATCGAGTGGTGCTGGTGTCATTGTGCGTCGCGAGCCTTGGTACAAGAATCCTACATTGGTGTGGATACTCAAGTCAACAGCTGTCAATTTGATTCTTCCCTTCGTCAACGGCGTCATGCTTGGCTTTGGCGAGATTTTGGCAAACGAGCTAGTCTTCAAGTTTGGGTGGTTTGGTTTCTCACGCGTTTCTCCAAGCACTGCTCTCGGCTTATCCCCCGGCATCCCTCCAAGTGGAACGACCGAATACAGGAAAACTCTTCAAAACGAGGTCAAACGTGCCGAACAGCAACAGCAACAGCAGCAGTATACCAACACCCCCGATCAATTAGAATTACAATAAACGCACTCTATTTTCGAAGATGGATTACTTTCATGGATGGTATTGGTGAGCACATTCAGAGGATCAAAGGGGATGGCATCTATGATTGCGGGGGAGATGAAGGCTATTCCACCAATGAAAGAAGGATCACCCGTAAAGGATCATTAAGAGTGTTGGAAGACGCTGTGGATCATTCATCATGTTATTGGTTTCCCAAAGGAGGAAGGAGAAAACAAGAGGCAAATGTGGATAAAGAGGAAAGGGTTGCAGGATTGCATTCTTTGTTATCTGTGCACGAAATTGACATGTCCCAGTGAGAGCAGCTACTGGTGAAAAGAGTGTATGTTTCACAAAATGATACGCTTAATGCAAAGATCGTCATCCATATTGGCTGTGTGTGTGTGTATGTGTATATGTGCGTGCGTCTGTATCAGAAAAAAACATCATGCATAAAAGTGAAGTTTGTGTCAGGTTCACATCAGCTGATTCTTAGACAACCAAGTAAGAGAGGTTAACGGCAACCACAATGACGACATGATGATTGATTATTCTATTACAAGACAATGATGCCGAATCGATTAAGGAAAAGGATAAACAAGTACGTGGATGGTAGGTAGGTGGATGATGCAGGAGGTGGTGGATGATGTGGAATGGGATAATATGGATTGGTAGGGGATTCCGACTTAAGCAGCGACACATAGTCAGACACATTAACACGCGCGCGTTTGTATGTGAGTGGTGTGTGTGTGTGTGTGTGTACGTGTATGTGGGGCGAGTGAGTGTTGCCAGACCAATCTCTTCCTGCTCTTTGTATTTTTCATTGTCTCTCTTTTCTTTCTTTCTTTCTTTCTATACCAACAAAGGGAGTGCGCGAGAGAAATATAAATACTCACAACAAAAATCAACGCCTTTCCTCCTTTCGTCCTTGAATATCAAACCGACCATGGCCCAAGACGAACGGACCGCGTACTATGCTGCTTTGTGCGAGCAACTCTACAACCCAAAGTCATCTACCGAAGGCGACCAAGTACTCAAGATTCTCGAGTATAGCTTCCCAACATTTGCCGATGAAGCAGGCGGCGGCATTGCAGCATCCCAACGACAACCACCTCCTCCTGGCATGGAAAACAGCCCCACATTTGCCATTGCCACACCCACTGATACAGCGTCTGCTTTACGTGTACTACTGGAAAACTCCCCCAACCCTTATGTTCAAACCTTTTGTTTGTCTCGTCTTAAGCAACTTGTTCTGGCCCAGTTCACTTTATTCACCAACGAGACCAAGGTTCAACTACGTAAGTGTATACATCCTATCTCTTTATCCCGGGCTCTATCACTCATACCTTTCTATAGGCACATTCCTACTTGGATACTGCTTTATGCATCCAGATTTGCAACCTTTTGTGATCTCCCAACTGGCAGGTGTCTTGGCATTACTTACACGTCTTGGATGGCTGGATGTCGAGGAGTATCGCAACGTACAAAAGGATATGAATCAGTTCCTTCAGGTATTTGTTTGGATAGATGCCATGATATTGTCAACTTACAACGCTATTCCAGGCATCAATGGATCATCGCATTGTTGGTATGCACATTCTTGCAGTGCTCATTCAAGATATCAATTCACCCACTGCGCCTCGAAATTCGGCCAAGTTTCGTAAAGCTGGTATGTAGTTGATAATGGATACCATTTACACAATGATTAACTTGATCCCTCTTTAGCGGCGGCCTTTCGGGATACTCAGCTATTCCCAATCTTTGAAGCAGCCTATGATACGTTGACGCAGCTACTACAACGAAACATCCCATTTGAGAAACGTGAGTGGTTGCATGATTATGGAGACGGGTTGCTATGGGATACTGATCTTTTCTTTCTTTTAGCTGGTCAAGAGGATCGAATGAAGGATGCCACCATCAGCGTTCTTCTCAAGTGTTTGTCGTATGATTTCGCTGGCACCAACCTGGATGATGCAGGAGAGGATATTGGCACTGTACAGGTAATTCATGGGAAGGATATTGAAGAAAGGGAAAAGATGCTTATCATGACCGTGACACTCACACACACAAAAAAGATCCCCGCAGCTTGGCGTCCCATCTTTGAAAATGAAAGCTTTGTTCCTACCTTGTTCACTGCTTATCGTGAATTCCCTCCACCTTTGTGCAGCAAAGTGATGGAGTGCCTCGTTCAAGTTGCTTCTGTGCGCAAGGCTTTATTCAGTGGAGATACCGAGCGTACCAGCTTTGTGCTCAGCATGATGCAAGGCATTCAGGATATTATCATCACATCCCAAGGCATGAACGACACCAACAATTACAATGAATTTTGCCGATTGCTTTATCGATTCCGTGCGACTGCTCCTTTGAATGAAATGGCTGAAAAACAAGGATACCTTGAATGGATTGGGTTTGTTGCTGAATTCACGGTCAAGGCATTACAATCATGGAAGGTATGGCTTGGTGTTGGGATAAGAGAGAATGCGTATGCGTATTGTATAGCTCACTTCACTCTTGGTGCACGATTTAGTGGGCTCCTAATACGGCCATGTATCTTCTTGGATTTTGGTCTCGTGTGGTGCAGAGCATGACCTATTATCAGCATTTGGATGAAGCCGTCGTACAAAAGTTGGAGGACATCACTGTAGAGGTATGTGTGTCATTAGGTGAGGAGTATACGTGATTAACATTATGACTTTATGATTAGCTTACCCGCGTCTATATTACAACAAACGTTGAATCTGTGCCTGTTCGTATCGAAGAAATGTTGGATGGTAAGTTGCATTGGGAAAAGAAGGAGGCCATCATTGCTTACACGTGACATTAGATCCGCTCGAGAATGAAGAATCACTTGTGGAGACGCTTGCTATGCTTGGGAATATTGCTCGCTGCAAGTATGAAGAATCATGTTCGACTCTTGTATCCATTTTCAACCCGATTGCAAACCAATACCAGGTAAGCACAAGGATGATGCATATGACGTATCACGTCGTGTGGTTAGGGAGTTTTGTGGTCCGTGCGCTGATTTGAGTTACACCCCCTGATGTGTGTGTGTGTGTGTTCATGTTATACAGGAATTGATTGCACAAGCTCGTTCTGGTATGACTGGCGGAGATGCATTCAAGGAAGCTCTCGAGGTCATTGAAACCAAGTTTGCATGGCTCGTATACATCACTGCCATTTTCGTTGGTAGTCGACCGGTAAGCAATTATACAACATGGTGATGGCTAAGTAACATCTACTAATTGTATGTTTTCCTTAGTCGTTCTTGTCTTCTGATGAGTTGGATGCATTGGATGGTGAATTGACAAGCAAGGTTCTTCAATTGATGGATGTGAACCAAGCCCTTCAAGGCCAACACGGCAACGCCTTCCTCAACCAAAAGCTCGATATGGCCTTTGTCTACTTTTTCTTGCAATTTCGGAAATCGTATATTGGGGAGACCACAGGCAAAAATGTAAGAAAGTATACCGTGTACGCAAAAGGGATACATTGACCGACAGCTTTTTTTGGTTATAGGTATATAGCAAGCTGACAGAGATGTTTGGTATCAGCGACCAAGTCCTCATGCTCAATGTGGTTATGCGTAAAATGTAAGTGACATGGGATCAAGTTGAGAAGGATGGGATAGCTAATGCATGTATCGCTTTTAGTATTACCAATCTACAGTGCTGGAGTCATAGTGAAATGGTGATTCGAAGGACTTTGGAGCTATTCAACGAGTTAGCAAGTGGCTATAGCTCATTGAAGAACCTGAGGAAGATCGAGACGGCACGACTACTCTTGCAAAATCACATGTCGAACGAATTTGCATTCTTTGAAAGCGACAAGCATAACCACAATCGCATGCTCTACTATCAAGTCCTATCCAAGGTGTTGTTTGCGGATGATTACACGGAGAAGGATTTCTATTCGTTTATGCGTCCTTTTGAATTGCGCTTGGAGCCCATCGAAGCACTTGATAGCGTGGAAGCCTTCCGACAACCTGATGTTCGAGTAAGTGGATTCATATGAAGGGGGAAAAAGCGCCTTTTATTCAACGCTTCTATTGTAGCGTGCTTTGCAAGATGTGTTTCGAGATCTGCGTGGTTTTATTCAACCGATTCAAAGTCGACGCGATTACCTCATGTTCTTCAACTGGTTTTATCCCGATTACATGCCCATCCTCTTGCGTGCCATTGAAGCTTGGTCACCTGATCCCATCGTCAATACCGTCTTGAAGTTTTTTGCAGATTTTGTATTCAATCGGAGTCAGCGTCTCAACTTTGATATTTCATCTCCCAACGGCATTCTCATATTCCGTGATGCTAGTCGTGTGGTTTGCACCTATGGCCGTCACATTCTCGAACACCAAGTTACCAACGAAAGTGAAAAATACCCCTACAAGTAAGTGCCGGGATGCTATTGATAGCAGCATCGAGATTAACCGATACCTTTTTATTAGATACAAAGGCATATCCATCTGCTTCAATATCATGTCACGGTGCCTTGGTGGACGATACATTAATTTCGGTGTCTTTTGGCTGTACCAGGATAAGGCTATCAACGAGGCGTTCCAAATGATGTTCCAGCTTTTGCTCAACGTGCCGTTGAATGATCTTATGGTATGTACACTTTTTCTTTTGATAAGGGATCTTATTAACAAATGCTATTTAAAACAGGGTTTCCCTAAGCTTGCACGTGCTTGTATTTCGATGCTCGATGATTTTACCAAGGAACAATTGACTGCATTACCATCGTTGGAGCCAAACGTATTCCTTTACATGATGCAAGCGCTTGAGCAAGGTGTCGAGTCATCCGAAAGCTTTGTGCGATCCAAGGCATGTTCCGCTATTGACAATGTTTGCTCGTTTGTGGTGCGTGAATCTGAAAAGGCGGATGCACGACAAGCCATGAATCAAGAGGACGGTAACGCTGCTTCAAATGCATCTCTTGAACGACGACGATCATCGACTTCCAAACAAGCACCTGCTACGCACTGGATGATGGGTTACCTCGCTCAATACACATCGCTGCTACCTTCCATGCTGATGACGGTTTTCAATTTGATCTTGTTCGATGACAATCTTGATCAATGGGCGTTGTCACGGCCGTTGTACGTGCTTATGTTACTGCAAAAAGAGGTACGTATAAAATTATTACTGGACTTGACAAAGAAGATGCTTATTTCCCAAGGAAAAACAGTTAGCGATCGAGTACACGCACCAAGTCATCAACCAGCAATTGCCTGAACGTCGTGAATATGTTGCAAAGGTAAGATCAATGATGGCAGGGAGTGCTTGCTTGGTGATTTTAACGTAGCATGGATATAGGCTCTTGGTACATTGACCGAAGGTATTGGTTGGACGCTATCAGCCAAGGATCGAGAACGATTTTCACAGAATGTATCATCCTTCCGAAGGGACTTGGTCATGAACAACGTAGCACTTGTACCGGTACTCGTCCCCCCTACTGGAGCTGGTGGTAGTGGCAGCGGCAATCCTCAAGCTGTTGGTGGAAATTCTACTGTAGCAACGTTCTAGAAATAAAATCACTACCATGATTGGTTATTAGCATGAAGCAATGTACATATAATAGCTAGAGCAAAATTTTCTGCCTTTGGGAGATGGGGTCATATTGGCAGCTGTAGATGAGTCAAAAGCACTTTAAAAACACACTCCTATCATCATGAACACCTTGTACATGAATTATCTAATATACCAGCATTTCATATGTATTCGATTTTAACACGATTGCAAATTTACAGTGGATGATGTGATGAGTAAAAAAAAGGCAAGTTTACAAGTTGGATCATAAATGTTGCTATACGTAGAAAGAGGAGAATGGTGTGCGTTGGGTAATGGCTTGTACAGTTCATCTCGATGATTGTGAAGCAGTAGGTGTATCACAAGTGGGTTTTTGATCAACGATGTTATTAGCAGTAATTGTTGTTACATGTTTGGGTGATAATTGACGATGGTCCGCTTCCTCCTTTGTTGTAGGTTTGTTGTTTGGAAACGTGGCGGTCGATGTTGTTGTTTGTGTTGGATGTGGCATTGATGTCGAATGTTGCTGTGATTGATGAGGTGGTGATTGTGGTTCGCTAGGTGAAGTGGATGATTCATAAGCAGTTGCAGATGTAGCAGTACGTGAGCTTGTATCCACGGGAGATGGCTTGAGTCGTTTTCCAGGTTCATTATCATCATCAACATCACTTGACATTCTCTTTTCGGGACGTTTTCGGGCAAGGCTAATCAATGTATCAGCTGCAGCATCATCATCGATACTATCTGCACTGCTGCTGGTATTGGTGTTTGAAGGCGCATTCAATTTGATGGATGGTGGGTGTCGTGTAGCATTGTTCATTTCAGGCAAACGATGATCATCCACGTTGTTGTTATTGTGCAATGAACGAATGACGGGTGATTTTGGAGAAGACACATCAAGCTTTGCAGGAGGTGATGATGACATGTGATAAGGTCGATGTTGTTGATCACGAGATTCATTAGCTTCAGCGACCTGCCGATCTCCTTGTTGCAAGGCTGGAAGCTGTCTTGCAGGGTCCTAATCACACAACCTATATGAGCCACATGTTGCATAAATATGTATTTCCAATATTGCTTACATTGTTGTTGGATGTTGCTTTGCGTAGTCCATGCGATGGTAATTGTGAGATTGAAAGTTGTTGTGATCCAGTAACTAAAGGGTGGGTTGTTCGTGGTGGAATACCAGATACGTATTGGTAAGGATTGTTGACATCTTGTGGCACAGGTGTTGTGACAAGCCCACCACTATAATACATATCAACAAACCAATCCAATTGACTCCTTGCCGCTCATTTGATATCTACCTTGAAGCACCTTGTGCCTTGCGCAGTAATTCAAGCCGTTGATGGATATGCGAATTTGATGGATCCAACTCTGCTGCACGTTGATAAGCGTCGAGAGCGTCTTGGGTTTGGTTACTGCATGATTCATAAAGCGTGCCAAGGTCGTACCACACCTCGCTGATGTAAGGATTCAGCCGTATTGCTCGACTGTAGGCATCCAATGCATCGCGATACTGATTAATTTGATAATAAAGCACACCAATGGAGCACCAAAAGGTAGGATTACGTGCATCACGATAAACAGCTTGCTGATACGCCTCATAGGCTCGATTGTGATTTTGTTCAGCCATGTAACAACGTCCAAGAAGATACCACGATTGAGCATCACCACCATCAGCTTTGAGTGAGCGTGTTAAGAAATTGATGGCCTGAGATTGACTGGAAAAAGTCGTGTTCGGTTGATGATAGAGCCATCCCAATTGTTGCAGCACCTTGGCATGGTCCGGGTTATTGGCCAACACGCATTCGTATGCATCCTTTGCTTTTTCATATTCTTTTTGTTGCTCATAGACGTGACCAGTCTGGAACCAAATGTCGACCTCTGTCAATGGAGGTGGTGGATTATGCAAAATGTAACGAAAACACTTGGATCATTTTAGTAAACGTGTCATTGTGTACAACATGTCTTACGTGCTTACCTGCAAACTCATGTCATATTTTTGCTGTTGCTTGTAAATGATTCCCAACCGAAAGTAGATCTCATTTGTCTTTTCAAAATGTGGATCCATCTTCATGACAGCCGAGAAAGCCTCTTCAGCGTGTTCAATAGAACCATATCGATCGTACAAGATGCCTATCCCATACCATAGTTTTGGATCCTTGAAATGATCGAGTTAGAATGATGATGCATAAAAGTACATATAATCGTCCGTGATACATACCTTTGGGTTTGGAAGGTGGTACAGTGCTTGTTGATAAGCGTGATAAGCATCCTGCAGGTTATCCATCATGAGATAGCAATGACCAAGCGGGCTCCATATCTCCCCGTTCTTTTCTTGGATAGCAAGGATCCGTTTAAAGTATTCGATTGCCTTAAGGTACATGTAAGATGTCATTTTCCCCATACGCAAATGGATATCGTACCTTTCCAAATTGCTCCCTGGCACGACACAATGAAGCGATGGATGATAAAGCATTGATGGAATATGGATTGTGTCGCAAAGCGCATTCGTATAATCCCATGGCGCGTTCCCAATCGGTCATGAGTTCAGCGAGATTGCCTAAATAACATGTTGTATTAGATACTTGTATTCCTCGTTGACTCTTCAATAGGAAGAAAGAGAGAGTGTGTGTGTGCGTGTGTGTATGCTTTCTTCTCCCCCCAAGAAAGTGAGACAGTTGACTCTCCCCCATTTATCCAAGGCACAGGGTGGCGTGTATTGCTTGATGATGTGCGTGGAAGTCAAATGCGACTAGACTCGAAATGGATATTGTATACATTGGGTTTAAAGTAAAAGGATCGGTCGGCCGGAATGGTTCATGACATACACACACACACACACACACACACAGCTCCCTCCCTCTCTTAAAGAACACATGCCTAGTTTGATCCATGATTGCTCATTTGCTGCGTCAAGTCTTTGAGTAATAGCAGAAGGCTGACTTGGATAGTGATGGCGCTGGTGTTGTTGTTGTTGTTGGGTCGCCGTGTTGGTGTGCACTGGCACCGACATTGACATGAGGGAATGAGCAAGAGAGAAAAAGAGAGAACAAAGAAAGGGAAAAAAGCCACGCGAAAAGGAGAAAGGGATAAGAGAGAAAGAAATAAAGAAAGGACACATGCGACATGAATGATGTGCTCATCAAATGTTCCAGAAGATAGTGGGGGGGGGAGGAGGAAGAGACTCCAACCCGATCTTCCCATGTTTACATCACACACACACACACACACACGCAGCATTGCACACATGCATAACACGATACATTGCATGAACAGGGGGGTGGGTTGGTTTGGAGGTTGTTAATCCCTTCTTTACTACTTGGCTATCATTTATTGCTGCGTTGTTCGTAATAAGTCATGTTCAACAACAAACAAACTGCCAAACAGAGTTTAAGGCTTCATCCATGTCTACACGCTAGTTATCACCCAAATGATGTCTACCTATTAGAACGCGTTCTCATACCATACCAGTAATCCTTCAGCCTCTGACAACAATAATGGCCAAAGTGTGATAGGAGGAATGTCGGATCTACAGTGCCAAAGTTGGCTAAAGCGCGAATTTTGCTGGGATCGCGTGCTGATCCTCTTTTGTCCTCCACCCATACATACACCAACCACAAGCCCACCACTCTCCGTATGGCCACATCTCAAACTCTGAAATCAGCCTTGTCCAACATTCCTTCATTGACAAAGGCCTTCGTCACTACCTTGGTCGCCTTGTCATGTACCAGCTACATTTACTCTTATCGTTTGCAACTCACCGCAGATGACCCTGCTGAGACCAATGCGTTCCTGGGTTGCCCTTTCATTGGCATCCTTCCTGGCTTGTATGATCAACCCTTCCTCAACACTTCCATTCACTATACAACTAACACAACTATTCATTAACACATAGAGCTCTCTATAATCCATGGACCTTTTTAACGGCTGCTTTCTATGAAGACAATGTCTTTGCGGTAGGTTGGATAATCAAGCATACATACAACAACAAGGTCATTCATGGATAATGTAGTTGATAGCAAGTGCATTGATTCTTTTGCTTTGTGGCAAGTACTTGGAACGAGCATGGGGTAGCCGGGAACTACTCAAGTATGTCATGATTACCGCAACATTGTCCAATGTCATGACATGGATCGGCATCCTCGTCTCTTTTTATATCTCAAGCGACAGCGATTACTTGTAAGTTGGATTGGATTGGATCTCTATTATGGGAAACTAAGGCATTCATCAGGTACAAGATCCAAATCAATGGAATGGCTGGTGTCTTTTCCGCTTTCTTGGTTGCATTCAAACATCTTATTCCTGAACATCGTATTGCATTGTTGGGTAATGCTGTGACTATCCGTGTCAAGGTAAATAGCATCTAAATGTGCCATGGGTGATGAGATTTGTATTAATGAATGGTATTGTAGAACTTGATTGGTGTAGCTACAGCAGGAAGCATTATTTCATTGATCCTCTTCCGGGCCATCGTGTTCTATAACCTTGTCAATGTCGGTTGGGTGATTGGCTGGATTTATATCCGATTCTTCAAATACCAAGATGGTATTCGTGGTGATCACAGCGAGGCATTTGCTCTTGTTACCTTTTTCCCTGAATTCTTGCAGTGAGTAATCTTGTTTTCATTGTTGGCTGGTACTCGTATTCATTTGTATCTGCGTTCTATAGTCCTATTCTTCGACCTGTCACCAACATCGTCTATGGTATCTTTGTACGTTTGGGAGTTTGTACGCCTGCTTCAAGAAACTATGCATATGATTTGGAGAGTCAAAGTGGTATTCGTTCTGTATCCCCACTTCCTGGTAGTGCACGTGCCGAAGCTGAGCGAAGGAGGTATGCTTTGCATAACCAATCTATATCAATGATTACTCATGGGATCATCTTACATTATAGAGCATTGGCTTTGAAGGCATTGGACATGCGATTATCGACTAAGCAACCATCAGCAGCAACATCTTCTTCATCCACTCCAACCTCTACAGCACCCAACGCAACGGCTGTTGATGCACCCTCACCATCATCTCCAGCACCACCTGCAGCTGCTGGTGATTCTTCAGTCTTATTTGAAGCAGAGGAAATGGCTACCATTGCAGCACCCGCATCAGAAGAAAAGGCCAAAACAGCAACTACTACCACTACCACTACTACCACTACCACTACGGCTACGTCGGCTGATGTTGATGATGCCAAACGTGACTAAGGCTATTCCTTCCCAATCTCATCTTTCGCATTTTTCTTTTCTTGCCACCAGCATACGCCATTTTTCACATCTACTATCACCATATCGCTCGTTTCACCTATTATATCATGGTCTGTAATATAGAATGAATGATCAACAATCCTGTTTTTTACATCTCGTGTTTATCCATGTTGTGCCATGTGAAGATCAACAACGTATCTGAGGATTGACACTATTTATTGATGACTACTATACACGCATCGACTGATCAACAGCATATGGGAGAAAGCTACAGGGTGGGGGTTTCAATATTAATTATCAGAGGAGGAAGGATCATTGAGGTTGCACATCTCTGGATGACGAAGACACCATCTTGGTTGAAGGGGTTGGGTAGCAATTCCACGAGCAGCCAAATGATAGCCCCAATCACTGATACGAGGAAGAGCATCACGAAGTGTACGGCGGTTACCATCCTTGTCATAAGCACCCGACCATGTGATTTCAGCAGCAGCACCACTACGTGGCCAAAGCTTGCTATCCAATACGCTGGGTCCTCCTTGTTCGGTCCAAAAGGCGACTTCAATACCAAGAATCTTTCCAGGAGAATCCTCGGGAATATCATAGTTGGGATCAAAGGTGTACATACGTTGCCAAGTCTATAGCGTGTGTGAGCGAATCAAGTCATTAGGGTGGGGGCAACAAATAAAATGCATACCTTGTAGGGAGCACACCATGAGCCTCCATTGCCTCCATAGTTCAAAGTGTCTTCATCGGTTGGTTGTTGAGTAGGGCTGACATAGCGATCATCGTTGCCTAGCCAACCTAATTATAGAAAGTCATTTATGCGCGTTAGCAACCACGTGATAAATCCATTCATTGTCTTATTACCTCCATTGCCACAATCAAGATAAAAGTAATCCGATGTAGAAATGATTACATCATGACCAATTCGCTGTATATTGATGATGTTGATGAGTGATGGTGATGATAATGATGATAGAAAAGAAAGACTTACAGTGTAATTTTGGGGTGGAGCGGTCCACACTTGAACAACGGTTTCCTTGGATACCTCGCCACCATCACGAATTGGATCCTCCCACATCACAGGGCGTTTCTTGAGATCCTTGTTGACGTAATCGACAAGCTTGTTGGTCCATTCAAACCATACTTCATTGGTTGTCATGTTGTGTTCCTTGGTATACTTTACGAAATCTTCACTAAGCTCATAGGCCTTTGCATTGATTTCATCACCACCGGTATGATAAAACGAGTCTGCAAAGCGTTCAGTGCCTTCCTTGACGATATCCTTGACCAATTGCCATGCGTCGTCACTCAATAAATCAATTTGGCCAGAAGGTGGTTCGGCAGCAATACCATTCCAAAAGTGGTCGTAACCAATGATGTAATCGGGATGCGACTCTGCAATGATACCAGTATGGGCGGGCATATCAATTTCGAGTACAACACGAACACCACGTGCTTGAGCATAGCCGATGATCTTTTGGACATCCTCGGGAGTATACACTTCACTTGACGAATAAGCTCCAGTCTCGTGTAATTCCGGGTGGGACTTGAATTGAAGCGGCCATGATTGTGCATCGGTTGCATGCCAATGGAAGACATTCATCTTGTTATAGGACATGGCATCAATGGTACGCAAGATATCATCCACAGGAAAGTAATTGCGAGCTGTATCCAACATGACACCACGATGTGGGAAAGAAGGCTGATCTTCAATGTGTGCCGTATGTACCACCAAGTTGCCCTTTTTGTTGGAAGAGGATGATACCACCAACTGCGAGAAGGTTTCAAGACCACGCAACGCACCCACCCATGTAGCAGCGGACAAAGAAGCCTTGCCACCTGATGAAGGAACATCCAAGGTATACGATTCATCCACACCAAAGTCCAATGCCACATTGTTGTCCTTGACGGAAATATCCAAGCTAGACAATGCGTCCTTGGCATCTGACAATGTTTCATTGTCATAGGCTACTTGCACAGGTGTCCATTTTTCCTTGTAAATGAGGTTCACATAGCGTTGGGCAGCCGATTGTACATGGTCATGTTGAGCACCACGGATCTTGAAGTTACGGGCAAGGGCTGCTGTAGAGCCGGTCCATTCAATAGATTGGGGGATAGGGAACAACCATGTTTTGGCATCCACCACAGCAGAGGAAAGCACCAATGCTGATGCAACAGCAACAGAAATGAATTTCATGAAGAAAGAAGAAAGAGATGTAAGGGGCTAGATTATTTGTGTGTGTGAGGAATTATACGAAAAGGAGAACCCTGACGTTGCCATTTATATAGCTCATCATCATTACGAATAAGCGGGTGGGAAATCAGGGTCCCTTTCCCCACGCGCTACGATTTGATAATGAACCCTGTACAGGGTACGTTCATTGACTCAGCACGATGAGACGACAACGTTTTTCCTTTTTACTTGTGCAACGGTAAGACAAGGCGGAAATCAAAGAACGAAGGAAAAAACAATCACCCTCTTAAATTGTCATCTCATCATCCTATACTACCAATTCCCCACGGGGAGGCATCTCCGTTTGTTGGAGCCTGGAACTATACAACGTAAGGCTCGCATTTACACACACACAAACTTGTGATTGTACAACACCATGTCATATGATCGGCCTTGATGTGACAACCACCGCACTGAAAATTTTCTTGTGTCGTAATGTAACCAATGTAATCCAATCGCTTATCACCCAGACTTCTGATAACAAGACCTTGTGTTATATCAGCATATCCACCTTTGGTAATTTGGACCCTGGGGTGCTCTATGGAAGGATTATTCATGTTGTTCTATCGAAAAAAAGACAGCTGACTGATTCACACAGGTGCATGTACACGGTACAAGATCCCCATCTTTTCCCATCAATGCTCTCTTTATCATGGCCTGGTAATAGCAATATCAGGTTATTGAAGAAAGGATATCATTATCACCGCCAAAAAGTTGCTGGAATGGGAGGGGTCATTTGATCCAATGCAAGTCATGCCATTTGAAGCAAAAGACATGAACGTGCGCGTTACATGCATAATGACATCGGGCTTCCTATTATGTGCGTGCATCATCCACCCTACATGAGGAAAGCTGCGCCCTATCTTACGATCATACACGCATCAATCCCTTGGTTTCTTCAATGGATTAGCTGCTTCGTGATGTGAATTTGGGTCATTACATGTTGCTGTTTCAGCTTACTGGTAATCTTTGTCAACGCGGCTTGATTCATTTTTTCGATTGAAATACCAACACGTGACCAGCAAGAGCCTCTCCAACAAAAGCAGTTGTCGCCCATTACACAACGCAAACCCTTTATTAGTAATACCCATGACCTGGACAGCTATAGGATTAAGCAATCTGATGGGTGATTCTATAACCAAACCTAATGGGATTCTTCTAGCCACGTACATTCTAAGACTTTTCATGCCTCGTGCAACTATCATTTTAGTTAGGTAGGCATTCTCATAGTGAATTTCTATAAAGAATGGCTTTTTGAATCAAGCTAACTAGCAGGGGTTGTTGCTGTTCCTGTGTACGTGCAATGTACTATTGATCCAACCTCAAGCATGACAACACAAAGCAATAGGATATATATAGCAATGAATGACGCCATAATCAAAAAATGATATGCATTATGCAATTGAGAGGATAAAAGACAAAAAGGAACTTCAACATATGATGTATAATATCTAAGTTATGGGTAACCAGGCATGTACGTAAGTGTATCGAGAAAAGGGGAGATGGGCATATATATATAGATCTTGCTGCACGTTGTTATTGTGTGCGATGGATCATTTCATCATGAAACGCAAAAATGACGCGAAAGCAAGGGCAAAAGTAAGGGGAAAGGTTATATACAATGCAATGCGAGGAGAAGAGCTTTACTCAAGCCTTTGATTTCTTTTTGGAAGAACGACGTCGACGCGATTGTTTCTTGATACCACCCGAATTACTACCACGGTTTCGTTTTTTGATGACATCGGTCTTGAGAGAGAGGGGACGTACAATGCCATGAAGTTTGAAAAAGAGGCCACACGCATTGCAAAGCGGATCGCCTTCTGCATTACGACGCCAAAGGGGGGTGTTGGTTGTGTCGCAATTTGTACAGTGGATGGTTCCATCATGGTGATTGGTCAAATCCGGTTTTGAATGGCGTGCCAATGATGCATTATGATTGGCTACTAAAGGTAGTGCCTTGTTCCTGTTGTTCCTTTTGGCAGAGACACCACTGCGCACGTGCCGCCGTGTAGCTGGTTGCCGCCTTGATGAGAATGACCAATCAGGATCGCTATCATCGTCATCCTCCACATAGCTTTCCTCATCATCGCTGCTCATGGTTGGATCTTGTTGCCGCGTGCTCTCGATGGTTTCATTGTGTGGCTCACTTTCATCATTCTCGTGCACATACGATGATGATGATGATGCTATTACACCACCTTGATCTTCATCAGCAAGACTACTAGCACCACTTGATGATGACCACGTTGTTGTTGTTGTTGTTGATGAATCCAAATACTTTAGCGTATCACCAGGCGAAATCATGTCATTTTCCATGCCGGCAGGTGGCTCATCATACACCATTTCATTAAACAAGGCATCGCTATGATGTGTAGGTGAAAGGCTAAACAATGCTTCTGGTGACAATATTTGCAAAGGATTGATGTGTGATGGTGGTTGCTCTGTTGCCGTATCTTCATGCTGTTGAGGAGACTGCTCAGTTGCAGTGACAATGGTATGGGATGATTGATGCTGCTGTTGCTGTTGTTGCTGTTGCTGGGCCAACACAAGTGATGAGTCAAAGAAAAGTGGGTCGTCGTTATTAGCGGTGATAGGATTCATCATCATCCACGACATGTCATCCTCTTTTTGTGCCCAAGGCTCTTGAATAGTTGACCCATAGCCATAGTGCTGAGAACCAGGCGTGGCTGGGGATGGCGGGTTGTAATAATGCTGCTGATGCTGAGGCCGTTGTTGTTGATGTACAGGGAAAGCGGATGAGACATGGGTGGTTGAAGGAATACCCATAAGAGCCATAAAGCAATCTTGTTGAGCAAAAGAGACCTCACTACCAGAAAAGGCCACATCATTGCCATCCATCAAATGCTGATGATGAGGCGTCAATGGAGGAGGCGTAGTAGTAGCAATTGCTGTAGTAGTGCTCATATCCGCAAACGGAGGAGAAGAGAAGGTAGCAGATGGATAAAAGCTCGGTTGATGATGATGATGATGGATTTGAGAGTACATGATTGTGTAAACAGAAATGAGATGAAAAAAAAGTGAGAAAAAAAAGTCGGGACAAAAAGGGATGTGAGCCTTTTTATGCTGCCCTCTATCAAATGATGCACGCGGATCATTGACATGGTACCTTGTGTCACCTTGGCAGTTTTTTGCTTTTGGTGCAACGAAAGCTATCCGTTGTCGCTTTTGATTGATTCCAATCCATCCCGTATGGTGCCACCCTTGATGGCAAACAAGGGTCAAATCGAAAACAACCCAAAGAAATGCATATGTACATGTTCCAAGGGAATAAAGAGGAGTGAAGACCCATAGGCCGTTGTTATGGCGATGAATGCAAATCATATGTTAGCAAAGAACGGGGCTATTTTTTATACAACAGTGGTTTTAGAATACTAATTTAGAGGCACGGGGGTAGGTAAGGATGAGTAAAAAGGGGGGGGTGTCTACCATGTAGTGAACAACGCATGAGTGTGTGTGGCATAACCAACATGATAATATGTGGAGAGAGATAAGAGGGAGGAGTCGCTGCATTGATAAAGCGGCTTTTTACTCACACGCACAATCTGACTCGCGGGCAATTTCTCGATAAGAAGGCCCTTATCGTCAAAAGCACATTCATGAAGATGATGCTGACTACATCCCTTCCATACAAACGGCCTATTTTCTTTTGCACCCGTTCTGAGCTGATGTCTAGAACTTGCATTGTGTGCATGGCCTCTTCCCCCTTTTTGCTGACCCTAACCTTGCATGATCTTCTGGGACCGCTTAGCTCTCATGTCATGTCTACATGTATACTCCTCGTTCATTTTGCAAAAACGGGGGAGTGTGTGTGTGTGTTATGCTTGTCAAGAAGTGCTGTAGTGATAGGAAAAATGAAAAAGGCAACTAAGCAAATATGGGCTTTGATTGGATGGGTCGGGTGGGTGATAACAAGTGAGCGAGAATGAGCCATAACAAAAATGCCTCTATAAAGGTTTTTCCATGGCAATGATCCGAAGATGATGCATGCTCGAAATTTTTCAAGTGCGATAAATTTTGGGTTTGTCCCCGTGCACATGCGCATCTAACAAGAGAAAACCATTCGCCACAAGAATTGCGTTATCCCACGATATGGACACTCCGCTTCATCCACAGCAAAGGATCCGTGGCTAAATGCGCACATACAATAATGCATCTCAGTCCATTCATACCCATCTCCCCATCCATCGCTTAAAAACAACGTGCCAAGCTTGTGGCACACAAGCGTGAGTTTCTTTTGCCAGCCATACACATCTCATCGATAAAATCCATCTCCTTTTGTTCCGATCCAAAGTCTACTTTTGTTGACCACATGATTCATTGAGAATAGCAAAGCAAAACAAGAGGGAAAGATCTTCATTCCTTATTGTGCAACAGTGGTACAAATGCTTACTTCATTCGCAAAAAAAAAGCGAAAGCCATGTGTGTGTGGATTGTGTGTATTGCTATGTCATAGGTGGTGGTTTACGCGAGCATATAGTAGGGGTAGTTTTTTGGTAGCGTGTCACTTTAATTTGTTGTTGTCGAGTTGAGGATGCGTTCTCTCTCCTCCGGGTGGATCGTACGGTATTTCACCATATGATAGACAAATGGCTGAATGTAAAGCATGTGATTTGGGATGATGAGCCTGAATGTATTTGTCCGTGCATACATGTCACAAAAGGAAAGGCACGCTTCTTACCGTAATCGGCCAAATAGTGGATATCAATGCAGCCGCAAGCGCTGGCCAATGAAGCAAGGGATCGAGTTGCTATATAATAATCACACCATGCATGCTTGTTCAGTACTCATTTCATATATAACATCACCCACCCCATAGATTACATGATCAAAGACCGCCCACAAGCAAAAAGCAATCACCCATGCGGAGATGACATCGCATCGTTCGTGCTTGTATTGGACGTAACCAATCGCGCTCAATGTAAGGAAGGCGAGAGCTGCATAGACAAGTATAACGTGAAGGATGTTGGGATGCAAGATGATGCCGAATTGGTCTTTTCTGACAGTGGTGAATGCCACGAACGCGTTCCATACAGCCATAAATATGGTGAAACCATGCCAGACTGAAAAGGGAGCATGAATTAAGAACCTTTGGGCCCAAGTTTCTGGCGCAAAGTTTTCGGCCAGGTTGTCTACATACAAAGAATCTCGCCACATTAGCATCAGCAGCAATCACGTGTGAAAAAGGGCTTACAGAAAATAACCGACACCGAAACCAAAAGCAAGATGCCGACGATGAATCCAAGAATGGGATGGTGGCTTTCCTGCAAGTGATGCATGAATATCCATAAATAACCATTTTATCCTATTGTGGGTAGGATGATGAAAAATATCACACTTACCAATAGGCTAAACCATAGGGAATTGAGAAGTGCAGCCACCACAAAATGCCAACCAACGCCGTTTACCACCGTTTCATGGGCATCGTTCGTCCACTGGTATGCCACAAAACATAGCAGCAAAAGATGTATCAACACCCAAACCAAGAACATCCAGCGAGCTTGAGGTTTATGATGAAGTTAGTCATTCGTTTGCATAGAATGCACATGCACCCGCTCGTAGCCAAATACCAGGATCAAAGTATCTGCAAACAAGAAATCATGCTAAACGTTAGGCTAATCCAAGTTCAACGTTGCACACGCACACACCACGCATCTTACGTCTCATATCCCCGAAAGATATCAGCAATCACGTCCTTGGAAAACAAAGAGTAGCCCGTGACAAGAACAAAGAAAAGGAATACAACGACATTTGCGCTTTTCAAAAGAGTATTATCCGCCATGTTTAGTGGATCAATAAGTTTTGGATGAGAGGAAAAAAAAGAGATCAATCATCAAGAGTAGCAGGGAGCCATAGTTTTATCAACATTCATCACCGATGTTTGGATCACCATTGCGCGGTCATCATCGTCATCATCACATCACTCATGAGAGTATCCACACAACCTGTTTGAAGCTAGCGTTAACGTGATTGGGTATTAGCGAGCCTATCACCCTTACGTATTTTTCATCACTGCAGCAATGTAACCGGTTTTTTTGTATCCAGTACCCTGCTTTCTGCTAAATGATATTGAGCTTAGACCATCACGAGATATCACATGTACATACAACAAGCAATCAATCACCCTTGCTTTTCTCCTAGCGCTCGTTTATGCAATAACGCATCATTCTCCTTCATTCTTTTTGCAGATTTTGTGCCAGGGAGATGTTATACTTTGATGGATGCGAAAGGGGTGTGTGGGTGCCTGGGGCTGGCCAATCATGGGAGGTTGGCTTATACGCTTTCACAATGGTGACCTAGGTGATGATTGTCATGGTGATGATAGATTGGGGTTGAATGCCTTTTTTGAATGTGGAGCTTGTTGATGTAGATCAAGGAGATGGTGTATACCTATCACCGCTTATCGTTTTGGAATCAGTGAATGCATGTAGTATGCAGCTCAAAACCAAAGACCATCAAGATCCACCCCAAGGAAAATCGTATGTTTCTTACATTATGATTCTACAACGTCATTATTACTTGCAATGCTGCATGTTTTCTCCATAACAATACCCAACGCACACATTTCCATAGTAAGATGAACGTTTAGATCCGCTGAAACAAGTAAGAATCTTGATTTTGATATGCAGCCTGTTCCATTAGATGACACAACGCGCAGATCGTTTGCATTTTTTGTGGATGTTGCTGAAATAGATATGCGTTTCATACAGCACATGGGAGGGAGGTACCTCCTCATTTGCCACTTAATGGCGAGTGCCTGCACACTCCGTGCTGCAGCATTCTAACGTGACCATGCCACCACCTATTAGGCATACATACATATACACAATCCACGATCTACAACAACTCTCCCCCAATGGCTGGGTTTACATGTATAGCCTCGAACACATCTTTTTCCATTTTGATGGCTACTCCTAACCTGTTGGCTTAGCACAAGCCTACAACAGGAAATGCGCTAAATCACATGGGTAACATCATTGACATGGTGGCGTATGAGACAGCGGCGTATTCAATGGACCATGACATGTTGGCGAGATGGCTTTCATCAATATGGGTTGGGGGTTGTCAAATGACAGCAACAGCAAACAAACAAGGTTGTCGGCACAGCGAAAAGAGAAGAAAAGAAAGAACACAACAACCGGCCCTGCAGCAGCAACAACAAGATTGAGCCACCAATGCATATTTGTATCTTAAATGGCTCGGTGATATTGTTTATCACCACATGAGCCGCCTCCTAGAATTCATGCTGCTACTCCTCCACACTCACACACACCATCAAGATGAGTGGCCTCATTGTTTTAAAAGCCGCCATAGTACCCCTTCTTTAAAAAGGACAATGGGGAATTCGATTCTCTTTTTTTTCTTTCTTCCCATACATACATTCATCCTTCTCTCTTAGAATGTCTGTAGACCATATTAGTGTTAGCTTCTCACGGCTTTCCTTGGCCAAAGCTACCAAAACAGCTGATGCTCACGATGTTGGCGTTACGGACGTTCATGAGCCATGGAAAAAGAGCGTCATTTTTCATCAACCCCAAGCCGAATCGAAAATGCTTCAAACAATGCAAAAGCCTATGCGTCGTTTACTATCACGACATTTCTCCAAACGTCGTTCAGCTCCTATTACACCATCCATCACCGATGATACTACTCCTCCGAAACATTTCCCGCATGATGATGAAGCCGATGAGCCGTCTCCAGAATTATCCAAGTATACCATGCCTAGACCCATTCCTCAAGATAACACCATGCATCGTGACAAGCATCCTTCTATGCATAGACGTACATCATCAACACCACCACCCCAATCTTTATCCTCAGCTGCAGCTGTAGCCACCACAAAGCAACCTCTTCGCTCGTGCCTGAAGCGTAGTTCGAAGTCAGCAGGTAAAGTATGACAAGGGCTTAAATGCACATTACACGGCATGTCATGGTAACCCATTGACTTGTAGACGCTGATGACATAGCTATCGAATCATCCGATATGATGAATGTGAATCGTACATCAGGTAAGAAAAAGTTACAAGGTGTATGCGTGAATTGGGAATAGGGTAGGCGATCGTTTTGGATACTTACCTATGTCTATCTTATTCTCGGATCATAGTTGAAATTGGCGGGAACACGTCCAAAAGAGACCATTACCATTCACACGCACGTACAAGCCCAACCTTGATGTCGAAATTGGATGCAACCCATCACCGCTCACGTTCAGTGGGTGACCTGCACCATACCCAAAATCCAATGAATCGTCCACCTACCCCACGACAAGTGAGCGACAACAGCATTATTGGCAATACCAATAAGCCAACCACAACAATGCCATCTCGTCGTGTATCTTTTCGAGATAGCTTGTACTCATCTCGGCAAAGTGCTGGGATTTCACCGGATGTGTATTCTCAAAAGTCGACAGCTCCTGTGACATATCCGTACCACCAAACCACACGTGGGACAAGGAATGCAGCAACAACAACCCAGCAATACTCTTCTCATCAACATGAGTCACCTGAAAAGAAACATGTCAGGATTGCTGAAGACGCCATACGAGGTAGTAGTAGCAGCAACAGCAAACGTAATTCATCATCTAGCAAGGAGCCATCGTATAACCTAAAGTCATCCACCGATGCTCGTCGACGTGCTGAGATTTTACGCAATCAACGACCACAGCAACAACATCACCCAGTTGCCATGCATACTGCATCTTCACCCTACATGGGAGCAACACCACCATCACCGTCATCAACACCATTGCCCATGATACCGCTTATAGTGCCATCCCCTTCTCCTCACCCTACATCACCACCATCATCTTATGGTATACCTATTGTGTTCCATCCTAATGGTGCTACAGCTACACCCGTTCCCGGTATCCACATGATGCCATCGCATCATCATCATCATCACCGAAACCACCATTCCCATCGCCGCAGTATGCATCGATAATAATCTCCTATATTCACGGCCTGAACTCGAAAAAGGAATAGGCAAAATAGGGATTTATATCCCATACGCATAGTATATAGACTTACAGTAAGCGAGTAACCCTCTCAAGCATTTATAATATTACGCATCATGTGTACATATAGCAACTTGGTCTTGTTGTATGCCAGTTTCCTTGTATCCTATGTGATTTTGAAAGAGAACAAAAAAAAAGTTGGTTGTTGATCCAAAGCGGAAAATCTAAACAGAGCAATGGCATCATGTGTGCTCTGCGATACGTTTGCTTTCCTAAACAAGAAGACCATTGGTAAGACCCAAATGTAGTGTGCGTTTGGATGCTCTTCCCCTTGTGATGATGGGAGGTCTTGTGCCAAGATTGGGGGGGGGGCGCGTGTGGGGAGGATTGAAGTAGATTGCTTATTGTACATGCAAGATGTAGTATGGGAGAAGAAAGGTTCTTTGTCTATCCTTCCTTCCTCTTTCTCACAATTCCCGACATGCATCATCATGCGCCACAACGAGCTAGATTTATAAGAATATTCGGACAAAGAGCTGTAAAAAAGACACCAGCGTCATTATTTGTGTATGCATCATCTAGTACTCCTTTCTGCATATCGCTTCATTTACGAATTTGGGTTGTTGTCACACATACACAAGCACCACATACACATTTTCATGCATTGGCCATATAATCACATGTCCAAGCTTGTTGTTCCACACCCTTCCTCCATGGTAAAAAAAAGATGTTTCATTTTTGAAAAATGTTCCTTCTTTATGCTAGCCACAAACGCTGCACAATCTCTGTTAATCCTACTTCATTTGTATTGATCTCGTAACAGCCCCACATGACCAATGCCGTAGATCCTCGAAGCGTCCACATTGCCGCCTTATGAAGACGTGGATATTCGCGTTTGGGAAGATAATCGGTGATACATGAATCAAAGCCAAGGTGGATGTGAAACGGCAAGACTACACCCAATAAGCCGTCGCAGATAGGTTGTGCACCATACACAAACTGTGTCGTGATCAATGGAATCAACGCCACGGCAGATACACGTTCCAGTGTCCAATGGTACGTTCCATATTGATATCCTTGTTCTCCTTCCTCTGTAGAAGATGCCTCCTTCTCAGTGGTCGTTGTTGTCGTTGTCTTTGATGATGATCCCTTCTTGTCACTGCTCTCATCCTGTCCCTTCTCCTCTAATGAATAATCAATGAGTGAGCTTGAATGGAGGAATCAAACGTTGCATTTTTCACTTACTCATGTGATCTAAATGCTTGTTTAGTGGATTCACGATGGCGCGTGTTGCATCCTTTCCAACACTGGCTGGGCTATGGTGCGTGCTATCTAATAGAGCCAATCCTCCAACAACATGTTTAATATACGTGGTCATGCTTCGCTCCTTCTCTTACATACATGAGCGCATCCAAGGTCGCATTCGGTACAATGAGGTTCGTAATCGCAAGATGGGTCGCATTGGGGTAAAGCGAAGGAGGTGGGTCGTACGCATGCGGCATGAAATATCGGCCAGTTTTCCCGCTTGGATCCGCGTGACTAACTCTTCCCTTCCTTTTACCTTATTTCTTCAATGTCGTCAACAGGTAAACGATCCTGCAGCAGCCATACGCCATTCAACCTTCAATCGCTCATGGAGTCGAATTAGAGCCTGAGTCACGACGACCCGATTCACCAGGGAGTAATGAGCCCAGCAGTAAACGAGCCAAGGTTGCTACACCTTTCGACGATCTCAAGATCAACGACGACAGCATTCTTGATACTGTGACCGATCGTTCAGAGTGCCCACGCTGCAAAAAGTCTGTCAAGTACTTTTGTTATCGATGTTTTGATGTGGTTGGCATGGAAAGATCTGAAATACCCACCGTCGACCTTCCTGTACGACTCAATGTGTATGTATTGTATTGGCAAACATGGTACTGTATCGATCCATCTAATCCAATCCATGTCCATAGCATCAAGCATGAACGAGAACTCGATGGTAAATCCACAGCTGTACATGCCAAGGTGATTGCCGAGGATGATGTCGACTTTTATACTTGGGGCGAGATTCCTGATTTTGAACAACCAGAAAGATCGTTGCTGCTTTTCCCTGGTCCTGTAAGTGTTGTCAGATGGATTTGTTATCATTATGTGCTAACATTGATATGGATAGGATGCCAAGCAGCTTAAAGATATACCACGCGATTCATATGATCGGATCACTGTCATTGATGGCACTTGGCGTCAAGCGAGTCGTATTGTGCGGGAGACACCGGTTCTTCACAAGATGCAAAAGGTCACCATTGCTCCACGCAAAACACACTTTTGGCGGTTTCAGCAATTGAGCGAGAATCATTTGGCAACCATTGAAGCTATTTATTACGTCTATCGCGAGTTTGGTGAAATGGTGGAAGGCAACTATGACGACGGCCGTTACGACAACTTGCTCTTTTATTACCGATACTTTTACAAGATGATTCAAAACGTCTACAGAAACAATGACAAATCGTTCACACATCGACATCGCAAAAACTATATCCAGTACGATGGTGATCGGTCACAGCAGCAAAACAAGGATGAAGAAGTATCTAAGGAACCAAAGAAGGAGGAGGATAAGGATAGTCAGCAAGCAAAAGCTAGCGAGTAATTAGTATAGGGCATTTTGTTTTCTCGTAATAGACATGTACAGTTGATTTAGATGAGATGATCATGTTTGGCTGTTGAGTGGTATTGGATGGTTGAAAATCATGACGCTGATCCTAGCATGTACTCTGCTGTCCAGTAAATATTTGATCATGTGTAGGAAAAGATCGTCGTAGGCCCTGCCGTAGCATTGATAACACATCCCACCCGCAAGTGTGACATGACTCTAATTACGCAAACCTCATTTGAACCCATAACATTGATCATCCACATTACCCTCCCCAAACGGCCTTAATGGCACAACAAGTTTCCAAAACCAGTTCCCATATCTAAAACTTCTATTCCTTGATCAAATACTATAACAAAAACGAAAGAAAAACAGGTCATGCTTTCATGTAAAAGAGGATGTAGGGTGTCTGCTCAGTGTGGATGGTGTCGATTGCTCGGGTATTCTTATCGGTCAATAGCACGTCTCGTTCTGAAAGTGGCTTGATGTTGGTGTCGTTGATGTGCAACCATTGACCATTCTGTCTTCGAATGTCGCAAGTGTAATGTCCACCACCAGCTGAGGTACCATGATGGTAAACAACTATTACAAAAATGTGTCAATGCAACCATGATTTCATTCACACCCCTTTCTTTGAGTACACTTACTTCCAAATAGCTTATAGGTAGCTGGGGTACCTGATCGATGTACGGGTGTCATCCATTCGGGGTGGATCGTCAATTGAGAATCATACTTGACTGATTTTTGCAACTTTTGTACACCACCAACGTTATCAAAGACAAATCGCTTCATGTGGAGGACAAGCACAGGTGGTAGCGTTTCCAGGTACACTTGCTTGGTAGCTTCGACACGCACTTTTTTGGGAGACATAAAATCGTGCATGATTTCAGGAACAGTGATATTGCGAATAGCATCCTCAATCGACTCCACATTCTCAGGTTGAATATCCAAAGGCAACGATTGGAAGGGTTCAAGGTTGACCGAATCTTTGGCGCCTGGACAACGCAAGGTGGATCGCATCTTGCCTCCAAAGAGCTTGCTGATAGGTGATTCGTCAAATCCAGCCTAATCATTCATTCATTGTTACCAAGATGTCCCTAATTATCCCCCTAACCTTGATCCTCATCCTTTTACTTACCACTTGCAAGTTGCTTGTTTTGTTGTTGGGACCAACTTCAACCCATCCATTGCCATTGGCTGCCTTTTCATCCTGCTGCTTCTTTTCCTTTAGAACTAAATGACATGGTGAGTTGACTTTTGTATCTTTTCCATACCAAAACACTTACCAGAAACCATTTCTTCATGCAATCCATCCAACAAAAAGCAAAGGAATTCCTCAGCATCCTCTTGACGACCCTGTACAAAAAGCCATGGTGAATAATCATTGATCCAATACATCTCATTCATAACTCATACCCTTAATGAATCAAATCGCTTTTGGCCACGAAGAGCATCATAAACGTATTCAGGCACAAAGGGTTCGCCATAAGGTTCCGGATTGTGATCAGCTGGGTTCACAGTGGATTCGGGTCGGAATTCATTCACAAACTCAATCATTGAATCCAACAATGGTGTCTTGCTCTTGAATGAGTGCACAACATGGTTACCGATCGTCTTTAGCAGATTGTAGAATGGTGGGCAATGGGATAAAGGCTGCAAAATGACGTTCATGAAGCATGTGTTGACGTTGTTGATCATACCACGTGGCTCCAAGAGTGGGACATCGTAGCGTGGTTCATAGCGATTGATAATGTCGGCAATTCCCATAAACTTTGGTTGCACAGTGGGTGGTTGCTGAGATGTCGTCATAGTAGCTGCCTTGGATGCAACATTGGTTGCCTTGGATGCAGTCAATGCTGCGGCTGCATTCGATGTAGCTTTATTCTTGGCTGCGGCTTCCTTTTCTTTGGGTGCTCGTAACAATGCTGCCCAACTTGATGGCTTAGCTTTTGGAGCAGCTTCTTTGTTCACAGGTGATGATGCTGTCGAAGGTGCTGGTGACGGTGTAGGAATACCATTGGCTTTAGGTGCTGATTCTTCTACCGTCGTTGCTGCTGCTGCCGTGGATGCATTTCCATTGGGTTTAGGCGTTGTCACAGTTGTCACAGGTGCTGATGCTGGAGGTGTTGGAGCTACTGGTGATGACAATGTCGTCGTCGTCGATGATGGCTCTTGAACAGTGGGTGGTTTTGGTTGAGATCGTTTCTTGGGTCTGATACCAGTGGCAAATGGAGTCTAATACTCACACCCTTAGGATATCAAATCATCCGTTACCCTTATCCATCCTTCATACCTTCTTTGGCGGTGCTAATGATACACCTGCTTGACTAAGGACAGCATTGATTTCCTCACGAGACAGATCACCGAACCCAAAGGTCGGCAATACTACCTATAGTCAATAATTCAATACACTGTATCAAAGGCTATCCAAGCTATAGAATACGTTACCCGTTCCGATGGCATGTTTGATTGGAGTTGTTGTTGAAAGATCGTTGGCAAGCCGAGTGTATGATGTCGATTGGTTGTTGGGTGGATAGCTCGGGAGGTGGGTGGGGGTGAAATGGGGTTGTTGGAGAATGAGGTTGTTGTTGTTGTTGTTGTTGTTATTGCGAGTGGTGAGTACTTGAGAGTAGATGCAGATGCGAGTGGGTGAGAGTGTGAGTGTGAGTGTGTTTGCAAATGGGTGCTTTTTGTTGGGGTTGCTGCGTGCTGACGAAGACAAAGAGGTATGGTACAATTGAACTAATTACTGCTTTGCACGCGGTCAAAGGGCATTATATGTGAAGAGATAAATACACCAAGAATCGTTCCCGTCAAGGACGTCTTGCCAATAAAAGTGTTGAAGATGCGTCCGTCGCGTTTGGAATCAAGAGCAAAGGTTGATCAACCACACTTGCCGACCTTTTTTTTCTCCAGGAAGCTTCGGAGTGTAAAGAATGATCAATAGTCCAGCCCACAACCACCACTACAACCACAACAACCAACGGCTGCGAGCTGAGCGTCATCCATGTGTGGACATCACAATCAAATGCTTTCATTATTCATCCTTTTAGAGTTTGCCAGTGTTGGTATGCCCACTTTATTCGCATGCATAGTTCAATAATCAATGTCTCATTTTGCTACCTCTTTGCAGGTGGTTGTCATCAATTACTAATCCATTTACCGTTCCATGATACCAGGTAGTAAAAGCAAGGAGATTACTGTACACGTGGTCCTCACTCCAGGGTCTTTGTCCTCCCAATTCATGACAATGCATCCAAAACATCACATTCATTGTTACATGGTCATCTCAAAAAGCAAAAGACCTATTTGTAGCAACACCATTTGGCGTTCGGATGTAGTTAAATAGTAAACAGCTAGCCTTGTAAAGCATGGGATCTCACTCAATAAAGGTATGCTGCAGCATATGACGTTCACCAATATGGGTTGTCATATGCCTGTCATCATGTCAACAAACGACAAATTCGTCATCATTGGTACTTTGGGTAATAAAGAATGGATCCCTACAAACTTCCAAATCAGAAGAATCCGATTCCTTGATGATGACGCTTTGTGTTTGTCACACTATGAATATTGTTTGGAGCTGATAAAAGCCATGCCATCATACACACACAACGCCTGACATGCGCATTTCGTTGTCGCACAACACGGAACGGCTCCCGAAAACGGAACAGGCTGCTGTTGCACCACCCAATGAACCTTGTATGCCACAGGATCTCTCTTTCTCTCTCTCTTTTTGCCACTGCATATTCCAAAAATCATGCATGGAGAACGATAAAGTATGAGACAATGAACCCCGTTGGCGTGTGTGCGGATTGGTGCGTTGATTCTCATGGTGCCTAAAGAATCGCCCAGCTGAGTACTATGGAAAAGTAGTAGTGCATTCTTTGTTGCTAAAAATATTTGTGTTGACGATCGACCAAAGCATAGGCCCCACACGGCACTGCTGCCACACTCACAAGATCCACTTTGTGTGGCCGAAACATACTTTGTTCGAAACAACTATCGAAGCTCGCCTTTTCATTATGCTAAAACCAAATCGACTACTGGGATAGTGCCATCTCCTTAAATTTTACAGCATTATCATTGCTAATATGAATAAACGGCACCCCATAATAATGTCATTGTGACCAAAAGTGGATCATTGTGGGTAGTATAACGTAACGAAATAACAATGTGCCAATGTCTTGATCCATTTTGAAATCCAAAACAAAGACACGTTACTGCTATATGCAAGCGCATATTGTCGAGCTTAGCCAATGCTATACGACCCCATTGACAACGCAAGGATACCCTTGATACTCTCGCTACGTCATGTATCACCAATGATCATTACTCGTTTTCCCTCCTTTATCCATCTTTTCTATGTTAGCATTGCACCCAACATGTCAAACCATTGAAGGGTAGGGCGAAGAAGAAGAGTGCTTTTGACCAAATATAGGTGAAAACTTTCGCTGGTGCCGAGAAAGAACAACCACGGGGGGTTAAGGAAACGTGAGTAATGGGTTCATTATAATGCAGTTTACTTTCCAATTTGGATATGCAGCTCCATATCTCCTCGAGAGAATAAACACATCAACGATACTGCATGTGTGCCACTGTTTTGCAGAAGCAGAAAACATACCTGTGCCCATCTAGTGAATAGTTGTGCCAAGACGAACCAAACGTGGAAAAGGACGACTCGTATGGCGTGCAGAATTCATACCAAAACATATACACTGTCGATCAATACAGCCAGCTGATATAATTAGATCGCTTCTATTTGTGAGCGCCTGCTGTCGTGTTCCCGTGTTTGGAGTTATTTGCGAAATCCAGGCTAGTAAGATTAGCTTCACCGCGCTACCGCTCTCATAGGTATTACTCATATTGGATGATGACGACCACCAATGCAAGTATGGAGATGAATGATCTACGATTTTCTCTCCTTTGAGCTTACTGCGATATGCAATCCCCGATTGAAGGAATATAAAATGGGGGCCATGCGATTCTACCTTGTCTTCCTTATCTCCTTTTTTTTCTCCTCTCAAAGAATCGCCAACCAGCGCTGTATTTCTTCCACTGATCATTGTATCGTTGCCGTATCTCTTTCTTCCTCTTTACTTGTTTTGCCCCAGTCATGGCCCTTGACTACAGCGTCCTTTTCACGATCCTTGCATTTGTGGTGTATATCGCACATGCCGATGTTGCTACCAATTTTACGACTACCAAGACTAGTGATCCAACAAAGATCTCGATTCCAAATATCCCACAAACCCAATCTCAGGATGTAGCTACCGAATGCCAATATTACAATAGCGATTACACCATTAATAAGGCTGAATGGCCCACCGTTTGGGATATTGCTACCTCCAACAACATGAACACGACCCAAGAATTCCAAAATTTGTACAACTCAATTGACTGGACAAAGGCCCCCAAGGCTCAAATCCGTACCACCACCCCCGATGGCGGCTTAAATATGCAAGGTACATAAACATGCATTGGATCGAAATGCTTTAGACCACAACATCTTACCCGTACCTCTCTCATTTAGGTTATGATCCCAGTGATCCCGATTGCTGGTGGAGCTCAAGCAAGTGTACAACGCCCAAGCAGCCAAACATCAACGCTGACATTGTGAATTGCCCTGAGCCTGAGACATGGGGTTTGGTAAGTTGTCGTTGAAGGTTCTCCTTTGGTCTTTATTCCCCCTGGATGCAATGACTCCCTATCACTGCTATCCACTCGCGTTTCTCGCCCCCTTCTTTTTAGTCCCACTGATCTCCTTGAAGGTATCATTAACATGTCATAATGAATTGTTTACATTCTAGACTTTTGATGATGGTCCAAACTGCTCGCACAACGCCTTTTATGATCTCCTTGAACAAAACAACCAAAAAGCTTGTAAGTCCATCATTGACAATAATCATCAAATGGGATTGTGTTAACGTATTGCTTGCTGTAGCCATGTTTTACATTGGCTCAAATGTGGTTGCATGGCCCTATGGTGCACTCCGTGGTGTCAAGGATGGTCATCACATTGCAGGTCACACATGGTCGCATAAGATGATGACCACTTTGACTAATCAAGAAATCCTTGCCGAGTTGTATTACACTGCAAAAGCCATCAAGTATGTCACAGGCATTACTCCCCGTTATTGGTTCGTATTCATTTTGAGAAGATGGGTGTATGCTCTTTGATTGATTTACTAAATGATTGTTTCTAGGCGACCCGTAAGTGGATGTTTTGTTGTCATGGCAACACCTTACTCCGGCACGTATACTAACATCATGTCATTCACATTATAGGCTCTTGGTGATATTGATGATCGTGTACGTTGGATTGCTACCCAGCTAGGCTTTACCGCTATTCTCTGGAATCTTGATACAGATGATTGGGCAGCTGGTACTCAACCTGGTATCACTGAGCAAACTGTCAACCAAAATTACGAGAATTTCATCACCATGGGAAAGAATGGCACTTTTGCCAACTCTGGTAATATCGTTCTTTCGCATGAGATCAACAATATGACTATGGACTTTGCTATGAAGCACTATCCCGAGATCAAGAATGCATACAAACATATCACTGATGTTGCAACTTGCATGAACATCACTCAGCCTTACCTTGAAGATGTTCTTACATTCCCTACGTTTGAGCAGTATATCAACAATAGCACATCACCATCGGGTAAATCGCTCTCTTCCGCAAATGTCCATGTCCCATTAGCATACCAAACAAGCGGTATTCTATTTGCTATCGTCCTTTTCTTCACCTTTTTAGGCTAGAGTTCTCCTCCCCCATACATATTTAACATCCCCTTATCACCTTATTTTGTTCGCGTACGCTCACTGAAGTTTTATTAAACCTCATGTTGAAATGATATACATTGTTCGTCGTATTGTTGGATCTCATTGGGAGACTTTCTAAGCACACTCCACCTTGTCTTTTACATAGTTGTATAGTGTACATAGTACATAGCCATTTGGATGAAGCCATTGCTGTATTGAGATATGGTACATGAAGGTAATGCAAAATGGTTATTGTACGATCAAATGATGTGGAATGGTGGATATGATCATTACGCATTATTTATTAGAAGAATGTAAATCTAGAGAGGCAGTGAAAAGGAGACAGGGGGAAGGATTGAAGGGAGGTGGTATTTGGACCAAGACAAAAAATCTTCTCGAAATCGGCATGTTGGGTGATGAAAGATACATTCAGGATGATCGTCTCAGGCGGATGATGATGGCAACTTTGTCGTGTCTACAATCACGGACGACCAAGCGTTTCTTTCTTGAACCAATGCAAGGCAAATGTGGCTCCATCCCATAAACTCTTGTCATCAAGCAGTGATATCAATGTTCATACATCCTCGAGAGGTGCATTTAGGCCGAGTCGAAAGCCCGCTGGTACTCTATCGACACGTCACAAGAAGCAATATGGGTTGCGGATTTAATGAGTAGGCACTTGTAACAGTATCCAGCTGCAGGAATTATGACCCATCCGATCGCTCTCCTCCTTTTGGTTGCAGTGTGAGCATCCTCCATCAAGGAATAGAGCAAATCACTCATCTCGATTCGTAGTTGTCTCGTAGCATTCTGTCAAGCTGCATCAGTCTCTGGATCGATTGCAACCAACGCTATTCTCACAGGTATGCGTGTATGCACTTGCTTTCTTTCTCTATCAAGGGTATGCTTACTCTATCATAGATATCAATCAGCTACGACCATCCACACGAGTGCTTCTTGATGGTGGCAAATACACATCACATATCACGACCAACGGCAGGTTTGAATTGTAAGTCTTTGAATCACGTGGCGTCTCAGCTGTTATTCACCCTATGTACCCCTCAGCTCCAATATTGAACCTGGAAACTATCTATTAGAGGTGCAATCGGTCGACTATGTTTTTCCCAAGGTAAGGTATAGGGCGGTCTATGTATCATGGGATCAAGCAAAGCTAACTTGGATGGGATTTAGCTTCGCGTAGAGGTGGATAATGAAAAGGGATTGACTCGGGCAGCTTACAGCATTTATGGCCAAAGTTGGGATAAGACCGGGTACACAGTTGAGCAGCCATTGGAGCTTCGTGCAAAGGCTGTTGCCAATTATTTCATGGTAAGTGGATAAGGAAGTGTGAGTGAGCGTGTCTATCATTGTACTAATTCTCGTGATAAAGCAACGACAAGGATTCAATGTCTTTGGTTTGTTCAAGAATCCAATGTTCTTAATGCTCGGTGTCAGTGGATTGATGCTCCTTGTAATGCCAAAAATGATGCAAAACCTTGGTAAGTAATGGACACATGACTACATGTTGTTGGGGAAGAAGAATGGTTGGCAAGGTTATTCATCCATTGGTTTACAGATCCGGAAGCCTTGAAGGAAATTTCCCAGACTCAAGCTGATGCACAAAAGATGATGACGGATATGCCTAGTCTTGCTAAAATGCTAGGTGGTGGAGGTCAACAATCGGGTAGTCCAAATAGACAGCAACAACAACGTCGATGAAAAGGAGGTTCATTATTATAAACTAAGAGATGGTTGCCAATGTAATTGTGGGTCGATTTTATTGAATGGCTATGATTCCGTGCTTCCGAGGATGATTTTTATGGGGCTATCCGCTGTGCTATGTTTGCGTGAGAAAAATGGTTGAATGTGCAGGTTGCATGTATAGAAGGAGGCAATGTAAATGTATAAACAATGGATTCCAGAGTGCTGGTTATGCTCTTTTATATATGCAGGATTGTGGTTGGTCAAGTGACTTCCATAAGGTGATGATGGGTATATTCACAAAAGCACATGTTTATAGAAAGGGATCTGAGTTGCTGAATTCGGTCTTTCCCCACACAGCAATAGGATACACTGACTAACGTGAAATCGAACTTGTATTACATATTACTTCAACCTTTCTTTCTCTTTCCACTCTCCCCTTTTACCCCCTTTACTACTTTTTATTGATGACCACTCAACTATCCAGCATTGACAGACAATATCAAAAGGCCCTTCGAAGCTTCTTGCTCAAGAAATATACCACAGCTGCCACTGCCACTCTCAAGGCAATAGCCGATTTGGCCAAACTTCCACAAGACAATCTCAACGTTGGACATTTGGAGCAACTACGGTTTTCGATCTGGACATTGTATCTCAATGTGACAACGACCTTGCTGACACACAACAAGCCTTCGCAACAGCTGGCCAATTTGGTGGGATTGCCAGCATCGGCAGCCAAGAATCCTGATCACTTTGTTCTTGCTATTTGGGAAATGCTATCCGAGGGATACGGTGGTCCTGGCAACGTCGACCCACGACTTGTTTGTGCATGGTAGGTGTATACACACTTATTGGTATATGATGTATGATAGCTGATGATATTGGTATTACATAGTTTGATCATGACACTAAAGTTGCAGGTGATCAAAACGGGTCGTCAAGTAGCCGAGGAGTGGTATGCAAGTCTTCCAGATGCAACTATAGACTACTTTTCTTCTATGGCCGAACAAGTCAACCGAGAACAAGCTGATGTCTACTATGACGGGTGTGTCAATGCCATCAACCATTATGCTACCCAAATCCTTCCAGCCATGAACGATTACGAATCCGCCATATCCTTTATTCAGTACAATGCATTACTTAATGAGGAAAAGAAAAAGGTATTTGAAAGGATGAATCATGCTTTGGGATCACTTGATTAACGCTGTTGTTGTACGTAGTCAATGCAAGCAGCGGTTGAGAAACACAGAGATGGTGTCATGCGTGAACGACAAAAGAAGTTGGAACAGCAACGTAAGGCGGAGCATATGGCACGAGTGGCAAAGGAAAAGGAACTTGCACGATTGCAAGCTGAAAAGGAAGCTGAACAAGCAAGAAAGGAAGCAGAAGCAAGCAAAAAGAAGACATCTCAACAACCATTATCACGTGAACGTATTGTCAATGGATTACCATCACCCGCTCTTTCGGTCAGATCCTCTTCATCATCATCGGATGACGATGAGAGAGTATCATCAAGCACAACACTCGCTACAGAAAGACGTCGCTCACTTGGCATGGCAGCAACTGCATCCCGAGGTAGTCCAGCAGCTATCAAACAATGGGCGCTTGAAACATTCAACAACAACTCGCATGCTGCCCTTGCCATCCTCTTCCTTGTCTTTACTTTGCTTGGTATTTTGCGTGGTTCTCGAGGTCAATGGCCACAACCAATCAAGGCAGCATTCTCTAAGCTTTGGCAAACGATTCAAATGGGTACCAAGGTCACTTATCTGTAATGAATGAACATGTATCTTTAATCCACTTGATCCATTCCCCCTTACGAATCCGATCCCATGCTATCCACAACCTACTCCATAGACAATGATAATACCTGTCCTTGATTAGTACTCTTTTATCCTCCTCCTCATCAACATTAAAAAAGGAGACAAGGCTTTTTATGGCCCTCAGTGTGTATAGTTTCGCAAAAATCTCATTAGTGTTGGTTTGTTTGTTTATACGCAGGGTGTGTGATATTCCCATTGTTACGATTCATGATACAGATATAGTGTGGATATGATTATATACATAGGTCTAAGCCTTGCTTGATGCAAGCGGTTGTTGTTTGGGTGGTCCTTGAGCATGAGACGTTGAGTATTTTGTGGACGTTGGCACAAGCCCGCTGGTCACCCAAAAGACGATACAGCTAATGAAAAGTAATAAAACGAGTATGCCAGCAACACCAGATACCCAACGCATCCGCTCACGTCCTCGCACAAGACGTTGTAACCATGGAGATGGTAAACTTCCTCCATATCGTGGGTCACTCTTAAAGCCTCCTTGATCATCGTCGTCTATATTGTAATGATGATGGATGCCGCCTCGTTCATCAACAGTAATCCATGCTGTACCAAGCGTTTCAGAATGTAAGCTGCATGTACTTGATTCAGCCGTACGACCTTGGTTGCTCTTTTCTGATACAAAGACTGGTGATGGTGGCTGTATAAAATTGGCGTCGTCTTTGTTGGGTGCCGTATGGGCTTCATTTGTCGGCGATGATGGCACTATTGTTGATAATTGTGATTGTGGAAGCTGTACCATCGCCATCAGCCAAATCGTGCTTAAAGTAACCGTGCACGTAATATGTGTATGTGAGGGGGACAAGAGGAAGCTTGATGAATGGAATTTTTTTGTGCAACCATGCAAAACGTATAATTCCATTGTTTCAACGAGATAACGCTGACACAGCTTAGCAAACAATCGATGAGATCCCAGTAAACGTTGATGATGTGCATGATTATACATGGAGAGGTTTTGAAGCATGCTCCTTATCTTTGAAGAAAGGTGTTACCTTTCATTCATTTCGATTTATGGATCTGCATGTGTGCGAGAACTCGTATAGCACCTGCTACACGTACGGAACGAAATTTTCCCTCTTCCCGAAGGTTCACACACAAATAAATTTATGCAGCCATTTCAGTTTTAGATTCTTTTTCTTCCTTCTGGAAATCACACAACCACACTATGGAGCAACAAAATACCATTTACGATGTTGTGATCGCAGGCGCTGGGCCTGTTGGTCTTTTCCTTGCATACAAGGTATACTTGAATCCGCTACATGATGTGCTTGCGTATTGAAGCAAGAGTAAAAAGATGCGATGCTTGGGCCATTCAGTCTACATTTGTGATCCAAAGCTGGGTCCCACTGACCAAAGTCGTGCTGTGTTGCTGACGTCTCGTACCATGGAGATTTTTGCATTGAATGGGATAGCCGAGCATTTTCTCAAAGAGGCAATCATAGCACAAGGGATGGAAGCTCACTATAAGGGATCAACGCTTGGTACCATCAGTGTCGCCACCACAGACTTGACGCCTTTTCCTCAAATGACCTTGCTTGTTCAAGAGAAAACGGAAGCCATTTTTATTGATTTGCTTGAAAAGATGCATTCGAGTAATGATGTTAAGGCTGTAGAGTGGCGTACGGAGGTGTGTGGGTATTCCCAACACGATGACCATGTCGAAGTCCAGGTACGAAACGTCAACGACGACACCAATAAGACATCAACTATACAAGGTCGTTATCTTATCGGGTGTGATGGCACTCATTCGGTGGTAAGACGAAAGCACGGTGATTGGAAGTATGAAGGTTATTCGGTGGACACGCAATTCGTGTTGGCAGACATTGCTTTGGAAGGCCGTGATGTGGATCGGGTGACTAGCTATCGTGCACACGCCTTTATGCATCCTACTGGTGAGAGCTATTCACTTCACGCATACATACATAGCTGATTTGACGTGAGGATAGGATTCTGTGGCCTAATTCCTATCGGCAAACGGAACGGCAAAGATTATTTCAGGCTTGTGAATAATCTCACACCGTATCAGGTGGCAAAATCAGATGACACCACGCATGGCATTTCACGCACTGGAGAAACCGTTACACTTGATCGACTCAAAGAGCTCATGGAAGATCGCTTAAATCCTTTGGATATCAAACCTGTTGATCCAGTATGGTCATCCGTATTTCGGATCAATGAGCGCAAGGCAAATGGCTTTCGACGAGGTCGTGCCTTTGTAGTAGGAGGTAAGTGGATAACACAATACATGCCGTAGGTGTAATCTCACATGCTTATGATGGTGATCATACTATGTTTATAATAGATGCTGCCCATTGTCATTCACCTGTGGGTGGACAGGGTCTTAATCTTGGATTTCAAGATGGTACATTGCATACATACCTGTTCCGTTTATGATGAACCAAGATTATTAACAGCTACCAAAGTGGATAACATAGCATGGAAGCTTTCGCTGGTTTTGAATGGTCGCTCCAACGATGTAGACAAGCTGCTGGATTCTTATACCATCGAGGTATTATGGTGCATGCACTACATAATATCAACATACCCACCGTTTCTACGTAGCGTGATCCCATTGTCAAATCAACAATGACCAACACAGGCTCAATGACTCGATTAATATTTTCGGGGGGATTCATTTCAGGTACACCATGATGGTTGCATTGATGGACAACGTAAATGGCTCACTATACTGATGACGTATAATAGACATCATGACCTATCTCGCTGTGAGTGCCTTGACATCAATCGAGAGGCTACAAAAATACATTGTGACAAACATGATGCAGGTAATTCAATGCTATGGCTACATGTAAACCAACATCCATTGATGTCGAAGTATCTTTGTCGTGTAGGTGACGATCCATCTTGGCAAGGATTCACCCATTTTGCTACCATCATCCTCTCTATTGATCGAATCAGGACGCTTTATGCCAGAGACATGTTTTCTTCGAAAGCGTGTGATCAATGACAAGCTCGAATTCAAGACACTATATCAAATTTTACAAGGAGTGGATCGTCAGCATGCAATTATTTGGGTGTGCACACGCCCTTCCAAGTATGATCCTTGTCCGTGGACCAAAGATTTCTTGGCCAAAGCTGATCGTTGGAAGCATGCAACTCGTCCTATCGCCGTGGAGTCAACGTGGCATGTGCATGATGCAAAACTTCCATCATACGTTGCAGCTGGGTCTAGTAATAGCAGCGTTATCAAGGAGGATACCTTCTGGATGGAGAATAATTGGGAGATGCAAGACGCATTGACTAAACGGATTGGTCTTGACGTGCACCTCAACAATACAAAACGAGGAATGGAGCCACCAGCTGCCATTGTCATTATCAGGCCTGATGGTTACATCGCTTCCACTGCCTTGATCCAATCAGCAGATGATATTGATAAGGCATTGACCCCGCTGGAAACATATCTGGCACTTGCCAATTGAGTTGATGCTTCCATTAGTATGTTGCTTAGCTCTATTCATGCACCAATAGCTTGATCAACTATGATGTAAAATATGTAAAACACCACTACTTGCCTGATGTCGTGATTAGTTACATGATTCTTTAAGGACAAGGGAGAGTGAAGATTAACACTGAGCTGGTGTTGTTGTGGGATGACGCTTTGTGTGTGTCCGTGGAGGGCCATCGTATAAGAAAAGAGCTAATCCGAGTGAGGGATTGAACTTGGTGTGTAGTGTATATTCAAATGTGATATGGGACCATTACTTGTCTATACACATACTTTGATGCAACTTCATTATTGGATGTTGTTTACGTCCTTTCCTAAAGGCAAATCATCATCACCCATTTGTGCAGCAACCCATCTATGATGTGTGTGCGTCTGTGTATAAACCATATGCCATTTGGCTCATTTATTCACCTTTCTTATCGACACCATCCATTAGGAGGAAGCATCTCCATGCGTCCATCATCACGCTTACATCATAAGTAAATCTTAAGGGTACCGTTTTCTCCAATTTTTCCAATGAAACATGAGGTTTTTATTAGAAAAACTTGATCAGCATGTATGGGAGAACCCTGTGTGAAAGATTCAAGTTTGAGAGGGGCAATCTCAATATCAAGGTTTGGATGTACAGTGTTCATGCATTTATACAAGACGTGTCAGGCCTATTTGATTTCCAGCTCTTCCCCTCTTCCTCCCATTCTCAACTGTTGCCCCATTCAAGTATACAGCTACTACCTGCGAACGATTGTCCTGCTTCAACCCATCATGTCAACCCTGCAATTGCCTTGATCCGATTGTCTTTGACTGAATGGCAAGTTCATGGCCTTCTTGTCACTCTTCTACAACACACGCGTCTCTTGACACAACACACGCTCTTGCACACTCCTCTGCCACAACCAATCGTAACAGCGTTCATTGAAGCAGCTGCTATTAGCTATGTCTTTACTCCATTGTCTCAAACAGCGTTCACAACCTTGTCATTCTACTACAACACACGCTCTTGTGCACTCCTCTGCCACGACCAGACGTGACAACAGTTGCTATTAGCAAGACCTTTACTCCATTGTATCCAACAGCGTTCTTTACTTGCAGCATCATACACGACAGCCTTTTACACGTGAACAGCAGATAGCCGTTGTACAGAAGCAGCTTTATCTACGTGTTTGCTTCAATACACATTCATCCCTGTGGATGATGCCGTATCAGCCATCAGCTTCATCGACAATACAAGCAATCTTAATCTGGTTGAGCTGCGATGGAAAATGACCAACAGCAGGATGGGGAAAGGAAGCACATCACGATCAATCACTTCTCTTGTGCCCATTGTTGAACGAATCATCGACACGGTGGATATACTTACGTCACTTACAAAAATCACCTTTCAAGTGGCAGGTGGATGGTTTATCACTTCTACTCGGTGCTCCACCACTTTATCAGTTCGATCCATCATGACAACGATTCTCACGCCCACTCACATATAAACAAGGCTGTTGTCACCAACGCTATCATACGCCCTTTCTTTCTACTTGTATTCATATCATCATCAATGACCTTTGGTAAGTCTCAAGGATAGTCTTTATGTGATTCCCAAAATGAGGGTACTCATGCATTCATCTTTTTTTTGTTTTCATCTATAGCCCAAATCGTTGCTTTACCACTTGATGTGCCCATTGGTGCTGCATAAAGATCTTCCATATCGGAGACGTGGAATGTAAGTGACATGATGGATAGATTGGGTTTCCTCAATGTACTTATGTCTATGGAAACAGGGTAACGATAAGCTGTGCATGGCGAGACATGCTGCGAAAATATGGGCTCGAGATCCAACAGTTACGTGATGGTATGGGTGTATTCCAGTGGAGATTGCCATATACCTGGTGAAAGAGAGATGCAAGAAGTGGCGCGTCGCGGTGATGATCGACCCTTTGTGGTAAGTATAACTATCATTTATATATTTAGGATTGCCTAGTCTGATAGGAATTTTGGACTCCTTTGTAGGCGACACAAGTACATGCGGTCCGTAACGCTGCTGCAGATGGTAAGTATGCTTTGGAACTCTGACTCATGTCCCTTATTGATTCATTGTTTCTAGGTTACTTCCAATCCTTCCCTCAGCATGATTCAAATTAAAACAACGCACAGCTCAATGGATCCTTGAAGCATGTACTGGTGATGAGGCCGACGAGAGTGATACCTACAGTACCTTACCATGTTTGCAGACATCCTCCATCGGACGTAAGTGATTTCAGATAAAGTCAGCGGTGCATTGGGTTTAATGAGCTGTACATTGTAGTGCCCCACGTCTCCAGAAAGCCGTTAAATCCCCCATAGTGGGGGTTTGTCGTGGCCGTTGTGCACACTATTTATCGATGAAGGTGCGACCGACTTCCCTTTCTGAAATGAGCATTGATACATACACCCCTCGAACAACGTTGTATTTTGTGGAATTGGAGCACAACAAGTGATTTGTGATAGCCGATTGATGCCCATTGCTTGACGATGAATATTGTCAGCTTGTTTATCTCTGATCCTGATTTATGCGTGGACAAATCATTCGCACCAAGACTCTTTGTGAAGGCGCCCCAACGCTCTATCATTTATCATCATTCCCAACAAGCATTTTATCACTCATTGCTGTAATCACAGAAATACACACGCCCACCATGCACATATAGACAAGGATGTTGTCACCTACTATCACACTCCCACACATGTCTTTTCTCTCATCCATCATGTCACTCTTGGATTGTTGTCTCCTTTAAAGCCCTTGGTGAGTATCATAGTCGACGGCCTTATTATTTGAGCGATCCATGTACTCATATGTGTGAAGATCTTTAGCCTTCATTGTTATCCTACTTGCATTGTCATTGTTGTCATTGTTGTCATTGTGATCTTGGCTCTTTAATAAGGTAAGAGATAGTCACCATCTTGCTTGATAAAGCACATACTCACATTCCTCTTGATGTAGGGAATAGTACCCACGATGCGTATACAAGATTGTATTACCTGGCACAGTCTACTGCAGCCCGCATGGCGTTGATATAACTACTTGCAGTCTCCTCCGCGACCCCATTTTCGATGAACTTGAAGATACATTCATTCATGATGCGGTTTCGGATATTTTGGATGTGATTTTTGGCGAAGATAGGCAACTGTCTCATCAATGGTAAATTGGCAAATATACTTCTTGAAACAGTGCTAATACGCAAGCATATGATTATTATAGGCCCAACACACAGCTGACAGGAATCGAAGTCGATGAAACCCTGAAGCCCGACTACATGGTATCAGTTCGCCCAGCTCAGCGTGTCGTTTTCTAGCTTGTAGCCGAGATCAACCCCCCACCCAATTACAGCAAAGAAAACGTATGCAATGACAAGGTCAAGCTTGGTCATGAGATGAAATCGATGCTGCAAACATTGAAAAGTCTCAAAGTACATGATCCAAGGTCATTCGGCTTACTAGTTCAAGGTAAAGACAATCCTATCGATGACATGAAGACGCTAATGGGATCTATAGGAAATACGTGCACAATTTATTTCATGGAAGCTGTGTACAAGCCAATGTATCGAATGATGGAAATGCGCAAATTTCAGCTTGTCACCAAGATCCAAGACCTCCCCCTCCTCGCGTATGCTGTTGAGCCATTGTTGGCATGTCAAGTATGTATACACCTATGCTTTGTATAATATGAACACAAGAATTGATATATATTATACAACAGGCGATGGTCAAGCAAGTAGCTACAGACGTTGAGGAACGATATTCTGCAAAGCGGTGAACCCGATTTCGATGATTATGTACAATATCCATCCCCAAGCTATACATGATGTTCTTCCCACCTATAACAATAGAATAAAAGTCTACAATTACAATTGGTGTTGTTGTTGAATTGGTTGGATGTATATGCAAGAAGATATGCATCGTTTTCATGTGGCATGTGAACGATATTCCTGATCCAGCCCAACATTTCCTTCATTCATTTGCATTAATCTGAGAGGATTTGACTACTACTGAGCAACGCTGGAACAACAGCAAAATTATCATACCATGTTTGACTGTGCAATCTTGAGGTATTAGTAGGAGTGACCTTCTTACCGGTGGGAGGGTGATTGGTACATGTATGCAAAGCGAAGGACTTTTTCTTTGTTAAGGACAGCATCGAGCATACTAGGAAGAAGGATGCTTCTGACTGGGATGTAAAAAAGGGTTGATGCTTGGGGATTTGGTAGTAGTAAGGTAATGGCTGATGTTGGATCATCATTATACATGATGTAAAGTGCAAAATGACACACACCCTTTTGCTATACGTGAGGATCATTTATTTTATTTACGCGTGCCTATTGTCTATTGTGAGGGTGCTGATGATGATGATGGGTGAGCTGTGTGTTTGGGTGGATGGTGTGTATTGGGGAATTGAGTGGCCTCAGTGTAATAGCAGTAGGGAATTTAAACTTGGGGGACAGCAGCTCCACGACTTGAGGCAACGCTTCTCCCTTCTCTGCTTTTATCCAATGCACATCATCCCGATCAAGGTAATGTATTATAGAAGAGTGCTCTTGTTGGCTGTGAGGTGTTAATGTAGTTCTGTACATGCATTGTCAGGGAGTAAGTGTGTCCAGGTGCTGAGGAATGAGCGTGGTTGGTGGTTGGTGGTTGCCATGGCGATATTGTTGCTTCCTTTTGCTCGTTGCTATTCCCGCTCTACTCTTGGTGTCAACAGGTACATTCAGAGTCCAATGTTGCAGCCGAATTGGTTCCATTGACGCGTCAGCTTGTATAGAGAGCAAGTTTGGTTTCAAGACGTTGGCTGGTTTGGCGTCGGTTTCGGCTCAACTATACTACACCATGGTTTTCGGTTTCCAGTAACCAACAACAAAGGGGTTTTTGTGTATATGGAAAAGGCAAGTACAATGAAACAAACAATGAAAAGGGTGTTTATTGTACATGTGTGCTGATAATGAATCGCATAGGTCTTTGATCAGGCAGTGCAACTTGGGGCATCATCATCTCTTTGGGTTCAAGTCCAAACTTGTATCAAGTGGCCGCTGCGTCGCTCTGCACTAGTCAAGTGTGTTGGAAAAGTTTCTTGGAACGCGTCCAGGGTCCTATAGGCATGCGTTGAGTTGAGGATGGGTCGATGACGATGGGTGTTTGGAAGAGCATGGTCACCGTGTTGAGGTAAAAGGGGATTTGCAACAGCTTGTGAATGTGTTTAACCAACACGCTCTTCTCGTGATAGGCTCGTTCTTTCCCTTGAGGATTTCTTTTCATGAGGTAGGAAAATGATTGGAAGGATTGGATTGAGGATCATTCTTTCTTTGGAGAGGATGAATGAGGACAACTATGAGCCTGGACTCTACGTAGGTGAGTCCTTCCTTGCCATGGATCGAACTGGCCTTGCGTGATTCGTGCAGTGCTTTCTCAAAACAAGGGATCGCCCGACGTTGCTCGTATGGTGGTGATTTGGTTTGTGAATTCCTTCTGATTTGCTTTCTTCCTTAGAGAGGATCGCCTAGCGGTATACCAAATCGTCATCATTTCCGGTATCAGATGGTCTAACTTGCCTGCTTTCTTATTTATAGAGATGACGATTACGATGATCACCTCAGTTACAACAATGACGATTACGATGATCACCCCATCCACAACAATGACAATGATAACGACAACGAGATTCAAAAGGAAGCCTGCAAGATCCCATTCTTTTCAACTTGTGTATTTTTGGATGTTGGTGTGACAGATGAGATTGACGACTGGTGACGAGTATGAGTAGGAATGATGACGGAGGACGACTACGACGATGGTGGTGGCAATGTACAGTAGCAAGAGAGCTAGATGAAATAGAGCATTGTTTATTTATTACACGCTTGTTGGAGGTTGCTAGCTTGTGGATTACATACTATTGCTTCCAAGATGGAATAATAAAGGTGGTCCGGTTACTGTATCTGTCATACAAGAAGTATATGGCTTTTGTGATGCGATAAGGAGGAGTGGGAAGTGGGATGCGCTTGAGAAGAGAAAAAGTGAAGAGATCCCTCCATTGAGTTTCAGGATGAGTGACTCATTCAATATGTATACGTATCTTTTTACATATACAAATTGGTTTATGCAGCTCGACCTTCTCCTACATGCAAACGTGATACATACCTTGACACACCTTCATTATTGGATGCTGTTTACTTACGTACCTTCACAAAAGACAATCATCATCATCATCCATTTGTGTAGCAACCTGTCAAGGACGTGTCTGTGTAACCACCACGTGCCGTTTCACTCAGCTCTTCATCCTTCCGTTAATGCAGCCGACACCATCCACTAGGAAAAAGCAACTCCATCACGCTTACAGCATAGGTAAACATAAACCTACCTGTATCTCCGAACTTTACAATGAAACGTGGGGTTTTGAATAGAGCAACGGGCTCGGCTTGGCCAACAGCACCTTGTGTGAAAGTTTCGCGTTCAATGTCGCAAACAGCCCAAAAAATATTTTTTGGTCGTCGAAAAAAGTTTCAAGAGGTCGACTCGTTTCACTTTGGCTGGTGGCGACATTGCGAAATCTGGGATTGGCCACGATGGACTTCATAGTTTGACACAAGATCGCTTTGACCCCGACGAGCAGCTTTGTTCTCTTAAAGACCCCACGTTTGATTGTAAAGTTTAGAGATACAGGCACCTTTATGTTTTACATATGCTGTAAGCGTGATGCTATATGAAAAGAGTTCTTGTTCATTGTAAAGTAGTATGACTACAATAGAGCCAAAGATGCAGAGGGACGTGTTGTGTAACTTTAGTCAGTCAGCATAGGCGATGCATGATAGTTGTACACTATTTAGGAGTAGTTCCTAAATGCCAGCTAATAACCCAGTCCTCCCAGTCATCTTTGTTGCCCAACCCAATGCATGTGAACGATTCTCCTGCTCCAGCCCATCATTTTCATCATTGAACTTTCTTGATCCGAGAGTATTTGGTTGAGTTACGCTCAAACACAAAACATCATCCCATTTCACAAAACATCATTTTGCAAAGTTATTTGTAAACTGCCAGCTAATAGCCCATTCCTCCCATTCACCTTTGTTGTCCAATACAATGCATACAATCGATTGTCCTGCTCCAGCCCATCATTCCCATCATTGAACTTTCTTGATTCGAGCTGACCTGGTAGTATGGCAACAATGGGTGTTGTTGGATCATCATTATCATGTAAAGTGTAAAATGACACACACCTTTTTGCTATACGTGAGGATCATTTCTTTTATTTACGTGTACCTATTGTCTATCGTGAGGGTGATGATGACGATGGGTGGATGGTGTGTATAGGGTAATTGACGAGTGGCCTCAGTGTAATAGCAGTAGGGGATTTAAACTCGGAGGACAGCAGCTCCACGACTTGAGGCAACGCTTCTCTTCTTTTCCTCGCTCTTCTGCTTTTATCCAATGCACGTCATCCCGATCAAGGTAATGTATTATAGAAGAGTGCTCTTGTTGGCTGTGAGGTGTTAATGTAGTTCTGAACATGCATTGTCAGGGAGCGAGTGTGTCCAAGTGCTGAGGAATGAGCGTGGTTGGTGGTTGGTGGTTGCCATGGCGATATTGTTGCTTCCTTTTGCTCGTTGCTATTCCCGCTCTACTCTTGGTGTCAACAGGTACATTCAGAGACCAATATTGCAGCCGAATTGGTTCCATTGACGCTTCAGCTCGTATAGAGGGCAAGTTTGGTTTCAAGACGTTGGCTGGTTTGGCGTTTTGTTTCGGCTCAACAACACTACTACACCATCGTTTTCGGTTTCCAGTAACCAACAACAAAGGGTCTTTGTGTATATGGAAAAGGCAAGTACAATGAAACAAACAATGAAAAGGGTGTTTATTGTACATGTGTGCTGATAATGAATCGCATAGGTCTTTGATCAGGCAGTGCAACTTGGGGCATCATCATCTCTTTGGGTTCAAGTCCCAGCCTGTATCTACTAGTGGCCGCTGTGTCGCTCTGCACACCAGGATTTTGTTGACGAAATCAAAAAAGGATGGTATTGTTGTTGGGAATGGATGGCCATCTAGAGGTAATTGCGAGAGGCTGTGGTTTTCCTTACGTGAATCAAACAGCATTTTCTCCAAGATATCGATCCGACGTTGTCCATAGATGGTGATTTGGTTTGTGGATCCTGCATAATTGCTTTCTTGCGCTGAGCGGACTGCCCTGGGTGTTACAGGTCATCGTCTTTCTAACCGAACCTGCATTCTTTATTTTTAGAGACGACGATAACAATTACCACTATAACTATGGCAACAGCTGCGTACTATCTACACCTTATATTCCGATCCACTTAGCTAGTTTATGGTAGTATGTACACGTTCCCTTCCTTTTGTTATTGTAGCTTAGATGGAATAAACGTAGCACTGTTATCGGTCATTCTGATTAAGTACCCTATGTATTCTTGATGCATACGGCCCCAGGAGAACTAGTAGCATACATCGAGTTTCAAGGCGAACAATCAATCAATTTCACCCTCTTCCTCCAGAAGGATATGTACGTAGTGGTGTAATGGAAGATGGAGATGAAGATGATCAGCTGGCTGTAAAAATCGACCTCCCAAATAGGTTGCTCGATAAATACATTGGCCTCGTGCACTCACTTTACTGTTTGAAGCTAACAATTACCCCCAACACATGCTTGTACGTGCGTTCATTTGACTTGCCTTGTTGTTATCAGGGTAATATGAGAGAATGTGGCGGGGTTAGATAGAAAGGTTCCCAAGGCTTCAAGGCTTTTTTCTAAGATAGTAATACAGACCTATATACGGTACCATTTGCAATCATCTAATTTCGAGATCACTTGCCACCTTATGAACATAAATGCGTTTACCGTGTAACGCACCGCTGAATCGCCTTTTTTTTTAAAAAACGCATCATCCTATCACACCTGATCACCTGTGCTAGGTTTGCATCTCCATGACGAGCTTTATTTATAGCCGTATGAGAGCAAAAGGGGACACGCTTATGTAAAACCAGGATGACATTAGATGGTAAAAGCGAAGAACACAATCACACAGCAGCTGATGTAGGTGGTATTGTTGAAGAAGGTGCTGGTTACATGATCATCCCCCTGATTGCAACAAGCTAATAGTATTCAGGGTCTGAGAACGCGGGTCAGCCTTGTACCACAGCAATTGTCCCCTGTTTTGCTTACCTAAGTTCACCTTTTATAAAAGATGGAGGAAAGCAGGGTTCTGGTTGGCCGTGTTAAGCAAACAGCTGTAACATCGAAACCTCGGAAATACTCATCTCGTTGATACACATTACTCACATACTTCTTCTTCTCTTCCTATCCCATACTTCTTTCTTCGTTTACTTAGCCTATGGATGACCCATTGCTTATCAAAATTGCCCAAGCTTTCGATGTGGATCGCGATACGTTTTCCTCCATTGTACATGGATTCAAAATCGAGTGTGAAAACGGTCTCACCGGTGCATCGCCATCAATAATGATTCCATCATTTGTTACTCGCATGCCGACAGGTTCTGAAACGGGCACATTTTTATCACTCGACCTTGGTGGAAGCAATTTACGAGTGGCAGCTGTAGAGCTTCAAGGCAATAGCCAAGTTCTTGTTACCGAAGTCAAACGTCCCATCACCGATACGCAGCGTACCACGTCAGCTGATGAGTTCTTTGATTGGATTGCAGATGCTGTGCAAGAGCTCTTCAATATGAGGAATTTGCATAACCAGGGATCTACACTAGCCATGGGTGTTTGTTGGAGTTTTCCACTAGAGTAAGTATCCTTTATATAGTATGCGTACGTGTATGTGTGTGTGGTGATGGCGGCTGTTACAGCTACAGCTAGCTTTAACAACATGCCGATATATATATATTATGATCGGGATATGATGAAAAGGAGCAATGCAGTAGATCATTCTATTATGAAGGGGTGTCTGTGTACCTGGTTTAAAGTATTAGTGCTATTTGATACCTTCAGGAGTATTATGCAACCAGATGCCGACCTCTGTGCATTTTCCTTTTTCGATACCGACATCCCTGGAATGACAGTAACATACTCACATCAACCTATGCAGTCAAACAGATATCAAATCAGGCAGAATCCTACGCATGGGAAAAGGCTTTGTGCTCGATGGGGTGGATGACCAGGACCTAGCTACGCTTTTTCATCAAGCATTTAAAAGAAAAGTAAGTATCCAGCACCGCCTCTTCTTTGATACTGTAGCCTTTACACTACCACATGTACAACAACCAATATGGTACTTAACCACGTCTTTGACTTCACCGCTTTTCTTATTTTGAACATGCGTTATTCTGTACACTAATGATACATCTACTAGGGTCTCAACATTGAAGTTGTGGCAGTGCTAAATGACACCGTAGGGACATTAGTAGCCCATGCGTATACCAACCCCGGAGCTGCTATTGGATACATCTATGGTACAGGTGTCAATGCTGCCTATGGAGAGAAAAAGTCGCGAATTACCAAGCTTGATAAAAGCAAAGGCAACGATGGCATCATGCTCATCAACACCGAAATCGATCTCTTTGGCGACGAATCGTACCTTCCACGCACACGCTTTGACCGGCTTTTGGATAATAGCCATTCACAACAGGGGTATCAGCTATATGAAAAAATGACCTCTGGTGCCTATCTCGGTGAGCTTACAAGATTAATCGCTATCGAGGTGATCTCATCAGGCGAGGAAGATGATGGTCGCCTTTTCAATGGAAGCGTTCCATCCAAATTAGCCAAGCCATGGGGATTCACAACATCGATGATGGGATCCATAGAAAGGTAATCACATTTAGGATGTGCTCCTACTACGTCCAATAATGAATAGCTCATGTATGATATCTCAATAGCATGGGTGACCAAGAAGACCTTGTATCACTTGTTGGTAGAATAGGTGAATACCTAGGTTGTGTCCACGATCCACGAGTACAAGACGTACTGCGATTTGTCACTATATGTCGTCTCGTATCATCTCGTGCAGCCACTCTTGCAGCGGCATCTTTGGCTGCCATCATTGAGCAGCAACCGGATTTGCTTTCAAGTCAAGGACCAATTATCATTGGTGTTAACGGATCCACCTTTGAAAAATACCCACACATGAAGCAGCGCATCCACAGGGAATTATGCAAATGGTTTGGTGAAGCAATAGGTGCTCGTATACAGATTGATGTGGCACGTGATGGTGGCTCTGTGGGTGGTGCATTAATTGCAATGCTTTATTCAACCAAGCATCAACATGGCAATTTCAGGTATGGAAACAGCTATATAGCTCCAAAGGTATGGATACCAATACGATTCTTTATTGCCTGATAGATCATGGTTTTGTATTCCTCCATGGAACGTTAAGCAAAAGTATCTCAAGAAGATCCGGAAGCTGGTTAGCAAATTGTCAGCATCGTCTACTGCTAAAAGATCGCCTGCAATCTCTAGTAATGAAAAGACATTATCTTAATGCATAAACACATTCTCGTTAATAACGACATCGGATGATGTGTGGGAGTTTGCAATGGTGGTGGATTTATTTGTCATGTGAGTCAATGGCTGACAAAGCAAAGCACGGACTATAAATGGCTGTGACGAGTACACCGCATCAAATTCCTGCGCTTTTCTTTTCCGTTTCCTTATTACTGTCAAGCACTCCAATGTCAGCCATCGAACTCCCTCAACATTCCAAACCCTCAAACAATGGTCTCTTTACTTGCCTTGCTTGTCATGTCGCCTTCCCGACATCAGAACGACAACGCGATCACTACCGCACCGAGTAAGCGCTTCTTTCTTTGCATAACAACGTCGACTGTAGTCACTGACAATACGTGTCAATATGGTATAGCTGGCACAAGTATAATCTCAAGCGTAAAGTAGCCGAGCTTGCACCTGTGAGTGCTCAACAGTTTGCAGAAAAGTTGATGGGTAAGGAGGATAGGTGGCGTGTATGACATGTTGCGTGTTGCTGCGGCAATGAGAGTCGGCTTATTAATACACCGGTTTTTCATGCAGCATCACAACAAAAGGGACAAGAAGAACAAGAGAAGATGGGACTCATTTATGAATGCCCCACATGCAAGTGAGTGTCATGATCATACACGAAGCAATATTGCCTGACAAAAGCATGTGCGTGGGAATGCAGGAAATCATACTATTCCGAGAATGCCTTCAACAACCATATTCAATCCAAGAAACACAAGGAAATGGAATTGCAAATGCAACAAGAGGAAGATGAAGATATCGACAATGCTGAGACATCGGATCAACCTTCGCCACCTCGTAAACAAGTTCTATCGGATGCATTGGTGGATTGTCTATTTTGTATGCACACGGCAAAGGATTTCGATGACAACCTTGAGCACATGCGTGTCACTCATGGATTCTTTTTACCCGACACTGAATACCTTGAAGATCCCCAAGGCCTTGTGCGCTACTTGGCAACCAAGGTGCAAAATGCCATTTGTCTTTATTGCAACGGTCGAGGAAAGGAATGGAAGAGCATCGAAGCTGTGAGAGCACATATGGTAAGAATCTATTGGGGAACGAAGGTATATATTCTGAACGCATTTGCATATGACTAGGTGGATACTGGGCATTGCAAGATGGCTTATGATGAGAGCGAGGACCCTGAGGAGCTATTGAAGTACTACAACTTTGGAGTGACTGATACGACATCGACACCAGAAGATCATGCTGTTGTGAATGGATCAAAAAGTGAACTTGTGCTCGACAATGGTTTGCGGATAGGACATCGACGATTCCTCAAGCACTACAAGAAGCATCATCAAACCAATTCAGCCGATGATAAGCCATCCGAAGAAGCTGATGATGACACGGCATCACTTGCATCGTTACCGAGACGTGAAAGACGCCACCAACGACTTGCTATCACTGATGGAAATGATCAACAACAACAACAAATTGCACGTACGATTGAAGGAAAGAAGGCAGCATCAGCTAGACAATACGCAGAACAAAGGAAGGCAGTGAAGCACAATTTGAATGCAACACGACGTGCCCGTGAACAAAACCCTATATAAACACCATATCCTCCTGATGAAATTTTCGAATAAGAAATCAGAGATCGTTTCATTGTATCTACTTTAATTGTCATTGTTGTCGTTGTGTTGTTTGGCACCCTAATAAGGTAAAACGTATCCATCTTCCTTGATGAACCACGTATTCATATACAAATCATGTTGCTTTTTACGTAGCTACCACCCAAGAGGCATATGCAAAGTTGGATTTGGACGTGTATTGGTTATATTATCTTAGGTTGCTATGCTACCCTAGTCACCTTGTTCTCTTTCATAATAAACAAACCCTTGCCGAATATCACTTACCCAACGGCCTCCATACAATCACACATCCTTATCATCTTGCACGCCTCAGATGTATACGCAAGCTTGCTGATAATGATGCATCGCCTGATATCCGTAATAAAGCAGTTCAAAGTGCTCATACACTTTACCTTTGCAAAGCAAACCTATGCATACGGGGAATACGGTTGCCGAGATCGTGAAAAGCAGTAGTGAGAGGAGCAAATTAAGCTTTTTGATGTCTTGTGAAATGGGAAGAGGCACTCATACACATTCTGTAAGAAGCAAAGAAGAAAAGGAGTGAAAGATAAAGGGGTGTGTATATGTATGGGGAAGGAGAAAAAGAAGAATGGTGATAAACTTCAGGTCCATCGATCTACAAGATGCTTGATTATCCAGGATACAACTTAGTTGCATCAACTATGTAATATCTACACGAGGGGTGACCACAAAGGGAAGCTACAAAATGCTGCATGATTATGAATCGTGTCTACTATAGCAGTGAACCTCCTCACATGTAATTACTGCAGCTGACGCATACTCCCAGTAATGGTTGGTTCAGCTTCCAGGGCAACATCCTCCTCCCATTGGCCCCCTAGCATTTCTCTTTCCTTCTCCTTTCGCTATCACCAATGTTGAATAAGCTGCAGTGGCGTGACAGCAAGCATGTGTCATGGTTATGGGCGGGACCTCGACCATGGAATTGCTTGATCATATCAGCTGCAAAAGAAAATCATCATAGATGGTAGGTCGTTTATCATTATGCATTGATAGAATCATGCATACGGACCAAAGAATATGAATTTTCACCCTGCTTATGCAACCATCTGAAGCATACGACTGCGGAAAAAGTGCAGGTACACACATTGGATAGCCAAATTCCTTGTAGATACAGGCGGTCTAAAGTCAAACCAAAGACAAGGTCTTTATCCAAAAACTTTCCGATCACTTCTTTTTCACTTTTTGATCTTTTCTTCCCTTGCCCGTTCCAATGACGACTACCGTCGCCTCTCGATCAATGGATGAGGTATGGATATACGTTCAAGATGACTCCTAGTAAAATGATGGCTCATACATGTGCTGTTTTTGGAAGCTGCAAAGACATGATCATTTCTTTGATGGGCGTTACGAGAAGTTGTATACCCTGGGCAGGGGAAACTTTGGCAAGGTTTACATTGCCCGTGAATGCAAAACTGGAAAGCAGGTACACTTGTGGTAGTTCTCCTTTGCTTTTTTCCATCTCTCTCCCTCCCCCCTTGTACCCAATCTATCATAGTCCACGTATTGCAACATGTGTGTAGTTGACTAAAAAAGTGGGCACACGTTGCATTATAGGTTGCCGTCAAAGTGATTGACAAGAGCGCATTTCGGAACGAAGATCAACGACAGCATGCCAACAATGAAAAGGCCATTTGTGAAGGATTATCACTTAAATTGCGGCACAAGAATGTTGTGGATGTGTACGAGGTTCAATCCGATCATGCCAATATTTTTGTGGCCATGGAGTATGTGGATGGTGGGGAGCTTTTTGATAAAATCAAGCAAAAACGACGGCTGGAAGAGCCATTAGCACGACGTTGGTTTCGAGAAATCATTGAAGCCGTTGCATACATCCACCGAAATGGCATTGTTCACAGGGACCTCAAGCCTGAAAATGGTACGTGCTGCATGAACCATCTTTAACACCCCCACCAACGACTGGTATTGTTTGTTCAAAAACATAATTGTAACCTTCATTCTTAAATTTGTTTGCTATAGTGCTAATTGACAAGTATCAAACCGTGCGCATTTGTGATTTTGGATTTGGCAAGTTTTGTGAGCGGCAGCAAGTGCTTAATACATATTGTGGCAGCCCATTTTATGCAGCACCCGAAATGGTTACTGCGACGCCATATCAGGGACCTCCTGTAGACATGTGGAGCTGTGGTGTGATCCTGTATGCCATGCTGGCGGGCACTCTCCCTTTTCAGGGCCAGGATATGCCTCAGCTTTTTCGACGTATCAATAGCGGACAATACACACTTCCAGATCACATTTCAAAAGACGCTGCGAGCTTGATTGAACGATTATTATGCAAAAACGCCCGACATCGTATCACAGCTGATGAATGCTTGAAACATCCTTGGCTAGTACAACACATCCCTGCAGCAAAAGAATCGACACCACAGCCATTGAAGAACACCAGTGCACGAAAAGCATCGTCATTATCAACACAACGACAGCATCCATCCTCCTGTTCATCTTCCTCCTCAACAACTACCACTACTACTACTAATACCTCCTCACCGTCTGCACCTTGTTACTCCCATACCACACCTCGTGCAGCTCCCAACAAACGATCAAAAGCCTCCCGCATCTTTTCACGCATGTTTACTCCAACACGAAAAGCCCAAATTGCCCCTTCAGCATCGGGTACCGCCGCTGCTGCTCATGCTGATGGTTCAAGTTACGCCAAGGATGAGGATCAACCTACTACGACAACAACTTCCAAGAATAAACTTAAACGCATGGAGGGTAAAGTTGCTATGCGACTGAAGGGTTTCTTGAAAACAGCCTTCCAACGGCGAATTGATAGTTTTTAGTAATAAACAATGTAATCTTGGGGGAGGGACAAAAAGTTGTTGACATTATAAAGTGCATTTTAATCATCGTGCCAAGATCTCAAATCGCCTAAGAAAGATGTATACTACAAGCTGCGGACATCAATGGACTATTTGATTGTTGTTTGTGTGTCAGCTCAAAGCATCTTGTGCAGCACATTGGTTTGTTGTACAATGTACAGTGATTGTCCTTTGGAAAGGATTGGTCAATCTATTTCAGGCACTGCTGCTACTACGATCACACATATGAATGACTTGATATCTGCTGCACGTTGCGTACCAATCGAATACGATTAACAAATGAGGTGCCGTTGAAACATATTGCATGTTGTTGTTTCTTCTTTTTGATCCGGGAGTGAAGTTGCCGTTCCATGTTTGAGATGCTACGCATTAAATTTGTCACACACATTCGGGTGTTGCTCCCGTTAGCAGGAGCAAAAGCTCCACCAATACGTATCCATCAACAAACAATAACCCACATACACAAATACACATTTCTGCGCCACAACTCCCCCTCCCCTTGTGGGTTCACTCGAAAGAGAAAGGCAACTTTTGTTTTCGCGCCCGATGTCGATAGGATGCATATGAGCTTTAATTACGGTACACACACACATGATTGTCCCTTTTCGCCTCCCACTCGCATGAATGCAGTAAGCTCGATCATGAACACGATAGATAGGTGTTTGTGGGAGAGAAAATTGCACGTAGTACATCATGGGCTGAACCCAGCGAGACTATATTATCAGGGGTTGTGTACATGTATGTGTGCACTCATATGCTTATCCATGGTATTATATAGACACAATGAAATGAGAATTGCCGAAGCGAGGGAAGAGGGGGGGGGAGGGTTGTG